CACGGCTAGGAGTGCGGAGCGTGTGGATCCATGGACACGGGAGGAGCCGTGCAGCGCCTGCCGTGGAGACAGCGCAAGAAGGGGGAAGTGGCCATGACGCCACGGAGTGGAGGACTCCAAGGGCGACTCAGCGCATTGCTGCTGCTGCCGCTGGCGTTTCTCGTAGTGGTGGTGGTGAGGACGACCTCGTGCTGCACTTTGCGATCCTGAGATCGCCGTTCCAGCGTGGCAAGTGTCTTAAATAACCCCTGATCTCTACCCCGGGTGCTCCACCGCGCTCTGTGTAAACGGCTATGGGATTCTTTTTTCCAGTATAAAAAAAATTACGGAAAACAAATAAGAATAGGGTTTTTACCCTGTCTGGCAATACTAAAACAGGAGTTGTGTTTAGATGTACAAACAACCAAACAGATATCGAAGATTGCAAGGCATCATCAAGTACTGCGTTAGCCCACAGATACCTGTAGCAAAAACATGCAAACAAACACGCTCAAATAATATCTGCGCATTGCCTTTGAAACGTGTTACCTTGCGACAGGTATCTGTTTGATATGTTTGATGTTTGAACATCTGGGCTACACCACAAAGCACATGGTAGGCAGGCAGGTCGCGCGCGTGCGGTGGGGGTAACGCTGTGGGCAACTGAGCACTTACTTCAAGACGACGGGTGTGGTGAACGCAGAAGAGTAAGCCAAATAACCACTCTGCCAGAGCTCGCAGAGTGATTGTATTCCTCTGGGAAGGCTACGATCGAATCAGAACATGTATTCATACAGGAGTAATCCAATGAGCTGTGAAGCTCTCTTTGCACAGATGAGGTGTATATATTCAAGTGCGTGAATTGCGTGACCTCAGTTACAAAAGTTGAAGCTTCATCCATGAGACATTACACTTTGAAGTGGGCTCGCTGAAACAACACCACCATCTTGAGTCTGTTGTGGAACTGGCTCAGACACAGGAATGGATTCCGAACATGAGCTGGTCGCGTATTCCAGGTACTTGAGCCTTAGACGCTGAAACTGCGCTGGCCATATCGTATGCGAGTGTAAAGGAGAGCCGACACAAGATTGCAGGGGTCTCGTCCTTTAATCCTTTTCTTCCATCCACACCTGTCCCCAGCCGTCCCAATATCGTTCCCGCCAAAGGCCCCCTCTTCCCGCCCGTTCTCTCCTTATAGCTCCTCGATCACCCCTCCCACTAACCCACCTATTGGTGGGAATCCTTCCCCTGACACCCCTACACGAGGTTTACACGCGGGTACAGCAGCAGGTCGCTACAAGCTGCAGATTGTAGTCGGATTCGATGTAGGTCTGTTGAAGCCGGTATGCACTGATCGGCGAGATAGGACGGAGCAGATTGATGGAGACTCTTAAAGACGAGTAGGCATCATTTATACGCAATTCTGTATTTAATAGGTAGCCAGTGCAGCTCATCACGTATCAAACTCGTGATCCGATCATATTTATGTTTCCTAACTATCAGACGAACTCCAGCATTTAACACTGGACTAGAGTTGCCGTAGGTCAAAAGAGCTAGCACAGCTGACGATACTGTTGCAGTAGTCCCCGCAGATGATGATGAATGCGTGGACGAACATCCTCGCAGTCTCCACAGTTAGAGCACGACAGACTTTGCGGAGTTGTCGAAGCAGGTAGAAGCATCGTTCGCTCAGGTGCCTGATGTGAGTGGCAAATGTAAGTTCTTATTATCATCTGACACTGGGATGTCGCAGCCGTCTATGTGGAAAAGCTCACGTTTGACTCTAGAACTCTGATGGTGGGTCCCAAGCACCATGATTTTATTCTTAATCCAGTTAAGCTTCAGATGGTTTGATGTCATCCAGTTTTTTTATATCATTGAAACACAAAATGAGGCGTGGAACGTGTGAGACGCACAAGTCAGATTTTGTATGGAAGTAAAGTTGTGTGTCGTCGGCATATGAATGCATGCCGATACTATGACAGCGAGCGATGCCGATGACATCCGCAGGATAAAGTAGGAAGAGTCACCTGTGTGACAGGTTACTGGCAGAGCTGACACTTTGTGTCCGACCTGTGATGCAGGACTCAATTTATCAAGCACAGTACCTTGTATACCATAAACAATTCGAAGGTGGCTGACTAAAATGTTATGATCAAACATGTTAAAAGTAGCAGACAGGTCTAGTAAGCAGAGTAGCGTGACTTCACAATGGTCAGCTGCCAGGAGGGCGTCATAGATGACCTTCAGGTTTGCTGTCTCTGTTGAGTGACCACGCTGGTATTCTGATTGGATGCTTGGAATGAGGCTCTTTTGCCCTATATAGGCTACGAGCGGGAAGTACCCGGCGTTGCCCGGGTCCAAAAAATATTTCAAACCTACTCTTTAAATGTAACAGTAGAGCGTACTGACTGTGGTGGTACCTGCTATGATTACAGCAGTGCATACCGACTCTGGCGGTACCTGCTATCACTACAATAGTACATGCTGACTCTATAGTAGTATTTATGGACTCTATAGCACAAAGTACTCACCTGACAGAGTTGCGTGGTGAGGCCTCGTCCCGTGCAGAGCCTCCGGCTTCACCTAGATTGTCCAGCCAGCCGAGGTGGCACCTTGGCAGGCTGGGGCTGGGCTGCTACCCCTGACCCCCCCCTCCCCCCCACCGCAGCCACGATCTTCCCGGCCGCTCTGTAGTAATATCTACGGCCGATAGTGGTAGCATCTACCGACTGTATATATTAGTAGCTGCAGGCATTCTTGTGGGGGGAACATCACACAGTGAAGAATTTACCTGAGCGTTTAGCATTTTTAACACGAAAGAAAATGTCCCCCTCACTCCCACCGAAGGCGTGAGACTTGGCATGGGCCATCCTCCCCACCAAAGGCACGTGAGTTGGTATGGTCGTGCATACATCATGAATAAATAAATAAATAGCAAGCGCACAAAAATGGCACTACATCGCTAATTTAACTAATTTAAAGTTGACGGATGTGAAAAAGGAATAGCGCTTGCTCATGGCGGGGCTTACGGCGTGGTATCTGGCTATTTTACATTAACCCCACCGTTGGAGAGCCAAATCCTTCGGAAGCACGCGAACACACACAAACCCACACACAAACCCGCACACAAACCCACACACAAACCCACAGACAAATTTTGACTTTTATATATATAGAAGAAGATAAGCTGGCGACATACCCAATCTCTCGACTATTTTCGACATGAATGTCAAATTGGAAATTGGCCTGTGGTTATTCTTGTCAGATGGGTCTGCTCCAGTCGTGTTCAACCGTAGTGTGACTATAGCATGGCGCTGGCTATTTCGTAGACAACCCTGCATGAGTGAAATCATTCCACGTGCTTTTGATGAATTGCAGAAGCTCTGGAAGAAACTCCTTTAAAATTTGTGTCTACATTGGGTCCAGTGCACAGGACTTTGATGGAGCAGCCATGATGATCCTCAAGATTTTATTCAGCTGTAAATGGCACGAACATATAAAATTACTCAGGAGTATTGCCTTCCATTTCTCGATGAATGGCAGCAACCTTCTGAGTTAAATAATTCATGACGTCCTGCACTGACGGGAAATTTGCTCTTGGTTAATTTGCCATGTCCCTCCGCAGAAGAGTCGCCATGCAGCCCCACCGCTTGCTCGGCTGAGCAGACCGCTGAGTGAATTTTCGGCTCCAGTTTGATGACTACTTCATGGGACCTCCTTTGCCAGTACCAAAATATCAGAATAGGTTTTCCCCTTTTTTCTGGCAACAAAACAGGTGTTAAGATGTTTAAACACCAAACTGAAACCTTTTACAAGGAATCATGTCCGCATTAACCACAATACTTGTGGTCAGAATGCAAACAAAAAAACATACTATGGTAATATATGCAGTCTATGTAACTGATTGGTCCACCTTCTTGGTTCTTTCGGTAAAGTCACGTAGAAGGGAGATAATAAAATAATAAAAATAAAACATAATAAAATACAATTCTCACGACGTTTCGGCCACAACGCAAGCAGCCGTCCTCAGGTGAAGAACAGGTCTGTCGGAAAGACAGCGTCTGAATGAACACCGCCAAGCTTGGCAGCGTATATTTAAGCTGGGTTAGGTGATTGGTCCACACCAGAGACAGCTATTCTCAAAACGGTGTTCGACCAGAGAACGCCAAAAGGCGTCCTCTGGTCTAACTATCCTCTGCTCCTCTGGATTGAAAGGAGCCAATTGAGGTGGTTCGAACATCTAGTAAGGATGCCTCCCAGTAGACTCCCCCTGGAACTCTACCGGGCACCTCCCACTGCGCGAAGACCTTTGGGCCGGCCCAGGGGACGCTGGTGGGAATTTTGTCGTTCAGCTGGCCTGGGAATGCCTGGGTATTCCCCAGGAAGAGCTATAGTCTGTGTATAGTAGTGTATAATGTAGTGTATAGTGTAGTGTATAGTAGTGTCGTGTACAGTGTATAGTAGTGTAGTGTATAGTAGTGTAGTGAATGGTATTATCATGTTAGAGTATGTCGCCAGGGAAAGGGAGGTCTGGACCACCCGACCCAACACGCTGCCACCGCGACCCTCACCAGGACAAGCGGATTGACAAATTAACGATCGAACAATGTTGCTTTGTAACTCATAATGTATAAAACTGACATTGCAGCCTGTGGTAATCTCATTTCATGTGTTCACCCTACAGGCACCCTCACGACAGCGAACAATGATGAAATCGTGATGTCAACACGAACAATGGTAAACACATTGAAGCCCACGCTAGCCCGAAAATTCACTATGTAGGCTTGACTGTGGGCTACATAGCACGCGAATGCGAGGCACCTGAAACCACGCTATTTCCCCTGCAGGTGGACAATGAGCATGAGGCAGTGAAGCTCATTCGTGGGAACAGAGATAATCTCGTGGACTGGATTGGGGTGGATCCCTCGCCCCTTTTTAATCATCTCAAGGACTCTCGCATGATTCCTCACGACGTCCACCGAGCAGCCAAAGCTACGCTTGGAGACGAGTGTGCCGAGCTCATACTCAACCACTTCATGAACCAAGGAGCAATGGGCTGCATACAATTATGGGATGCCCTCTGCTCCGTGAGGTTGCAGTACGAGCAACTTCAGCAATGGATCCTAGAAAATGGTATGAGATTCATTATATCTATGGGACTTTTTTGCAGCTATCAAAAATGATGAAAAAAAACACAAGAATACGTTTTTACCCTTTCTGACAACGAAAACAGGAGCTGTGCTAAGATGTTCTTGTTTTTTTAATCATTTTCGAGATTGTTATTCCTTGGACATTAGGGTGTGGCTGGCGTTACTATTATGTTGCACGGTCAGCCAGGTCACTTTTGCACTTCTGATGGTTGGAGCTCCATGGGTGTGAGACTGATTCTGAGATGCATGTGACGCCTTTATTTGTAGATAGGCCGCCATAATGGTTTCTGCTGGGTACTTTCAGTCTGGCATGATGAGTGATTTCCCCCTCCACCAATCAAGAGTCAAGTCATTTATGCCGCTCTTCAAGTGATAATGCACACACCAACATGTGCAGATTAACCATGCACCTCGGATTTTGACATAAATTAATGACTCTTGGATTTTCCTTAAGCCCAAATTAATAATCTAAAAACAGTTATACATTGTTATTCTTGGACATGTGTATTACAAGTCACGTACATAAACCGAACAAATATGTGTTCCCATTAGTCCGAAATCAACATGATCGCCTCTATAGTACAGTAGTTGCAATATCTTCAAAACAGTGGGCGTAGTTTGATTGTTATTGATTAGTGTGGCTCTGCTGTCCATTTATTGGGCGGAGTCTTCTACTGGGCAGGAGCAGGAAAGTGTTATCACCGTGCACGCGCATCATCGATCGATCGATTGTTAGTATCCATTCTTAAATTACACCTATATCAGTGGTTTTTGGCATAGAGATCCGCGCAAAATTGTTATAGTGTTGGATTATCTGCGATTTTGCATTATGTGCGGCCATCCTCCCTGTCATTAGCGTGGATAATCGAGAGTCTACTGTAATTTATTCAAGATATACAAGATGGGCGAGGTTTAATGCGGGCGAGGCCAGGTGTGATGTTAAAGATGGCGAGGGTGGTCTTATAGTTGGACCTGGGATTGCAATAGGAGCCCATGGAGAGATTTGTGGATTAGAGTGATGTCCTCCTATGGCCATTTCTTCACGCAATGTTCTGCTGTCCAATGAGTTCCACTCTAATCTGTAAAATGATGTTGACAGCACAGGCTAATAACGGGTGACAACAAAAATACCCATGTAAAAGTTGCATGCACAACGTAACACAAAGCTTTTAATTGGGCACAGGAGAAGCGGTGTCAACAGTTCGAAAAATGAAGAATTATCTGACGTCATGGATCGGCGAGAACCCGCTGCCTCTTCTAAAGCATCTGAAAAGGAAAGGACTGATTTCGAGTTTCATCTTGACGAACGCTACATTAATCACCAATGGAGCAGAGCATACAGAGCTGCTGCTCAACAACTTCATAGAAAGAGGCGATGATGACTGCCTCAAGCTGCTGCTTGCTCTAAAAGCTGAGCAGGACCAGTATCCTACATTGAAGAAATGGCTGGATTCTCTTGGTAAGACCGGTTGAATATTGAATCTCCTTCCCTATAATTATCGCGTGTAATTAGCTCACGTAGGCTGCCAGGCCATCAGAGTGTTACAAAAACAAGTCAATCTTGGATTTGGTCACAACAATGCAAGTGTTGGGGTGTAAATGATGACTCGGAGGCAGATCTTCATGCAAGGGCTTGCGCTGGTTATTTATTAGGGGTTTTAGACAACTTCCCCAGGGGTAGGGTTCCTTCACTAGGTCCTTCACCCGGACCTTCACTCTGTCTGTTCTTTGCTCGGCTAGCTCCGGTCTCTCTCCCTCGTGTCGGATTCGGGGGATCAGCCAACACCGACCGACCGGGGAGAGCAGCACCTCCTGTGACTACAACCGGCTTCTCTCTTCAGACTCCTTCAGCCTACCCCTGGCTGGCTCTTCAACTGTTCACATTCTCGGACTCCCACAGTGACTCTACTTTCGTCACGGGGTCCCCCTTAAGTACCTAGAGGGGACATGACGTCATTGCCCCGCCCAGCGCGCATGACGTCACTTCCCATGACGTCATCGCAACGGATGGCACGCATGACGTCACGTCCCCATATTACTCCTCTACACAATTACGGAGCGAGGTGGTGAGGGAATGGTTATACCCCTTCCAATGACTGTACAGAAATGTTGGTTTTCATGTAAAAATACTGCTCCCAGGGTACTGAACATTCTCAGTTTGACTAACATACGGAACACACTCTTGTCAAGGCATCTAAAATGGTGCGCCACATTGGGATTTGAGAAGCAGTTCTGTGATTTACTTCCAAATGATATAAATAGCAAGGGGTGATGATCTCACAATATGGCACTGCGTACTCAATTAAAATATAATTGGTAAAAACGTTAAAATATTATCTAGATCATGGTGTAAATATTATGGCCAGGATACGAAATATCAGTGTCAATAATTGTCATGTTATTTTGAAAACTGAAGCCTGAATCCTAGCTCTTTGCATTTCAGAATTCCTCTAAATCCAACACGGAGAAGCTGATGAAGGCACTGAAGAAAGACTTGACACTTCTACATTCCAGCAGACGAGAGACACTGACCAGTAGTGAGGTCATGGGTACATGATTTCACAACATGCTATAGGTACATTAGAACCCCTCTTAACGACCACATGTTGACGACTAAGAACCCAATGTGTAGTGCATAGTAGTAGGTTTTTACCCTTTAAACTGGTACAAAATTGATACCTTTATACAAGGCATCATGTTTGCTATAACCGCAACACAAGCAGTCAAAATGTTTTTGAGTTGTACGCCTTTTGGCGTCATCTGGTCCAACACCAATGGAGACTAGGCTCTAAGGAAAGCTGTCTCAGGTGTGGACCAATCAACTTCCAGGACAGTGCATATCATTACCATTATCAGAGTTGTTTCTTTTTGTTTGCATTTTGACTGCTTGTGTTGCGGTTATTGCAAACATGATGCCTTGTATAAAGGTATCAGTTTTGTACCAGTTTAAAGGGTAAAAACCTACTACTATATTTTGCCACTGGTAAAGGAGGTCTCATAGTGTAAATGTAGTGCATAGTAGTATTTAGTAGTGTAGTGTATGGTAGTGTTGTAGTGTATAATAGTGTAGTGTATAGTAGTGTAGAGTATAGTAATGTAGAGCATAGTAATGTAGAGTATAGTAGTGTAGTGTACCGTAGTGTAGTGTATAGTAGTGTAGTGTACCGTAGTGTAGTGTATAGTAGTGTAGTTTTAAGTAGTGTAATGTATAGTAATCATTCTTTACTTTGATATCATCCAATTGCACTACCTGTGCCAAGCATAGGACATATATCTCCACTCATGTCAATATTGATATTATTATGGTGTTTGCTTTATGGAGGCTACACCAGGACATTAGCGGAGTTGTGGCAATAAAGTTTGACTGCGTATGTTTTCTGACCGACAAACTGCATCCGTGTGAATGCATTTACAATGTAACGGATCTCTTCTGAATAAACAGAAAACAAACTGTGCAGAACACCCCACACAGCCAACTCAAACTGACTGTGATCTTAGATGGTCTTTTTAGCCTGTTAATCAAGTTATATGCGTGCAAATTTTGTCCATTCTGGTGGTTACATTCTTTAAAATAGCCACAATCGGCAGATCCTTGAATCGCAAATAAAAATGCAATTTGAAAATGTGGTATGATTCCCGATTCGTAATACGACACCCCCTTATGATATTTTATGTTACCCTACATTCACTAAAATATTAAAACAGTAAGCATTTTTCACGTAAAATCATTCATATTTTCAATCGCGTTAAATATAACTTGCAGAGTAAATACAGTATATCGATAATAGAGTTTTTTTGGTTCAGATCGTGTAAATATATCAATGTGTCGTTAAACTCACCACCACCCGACACAGCCAACTAGTAAGGGTTGTCACGTATACAGAACATGGGTGTCGCTATGGGTGTCTCTGTGGGTCTCTGTGAGTCTGGGTGTCTGTGGGTGTCTGTGGTCTCTGTGTATGTATGTTGAACTTCTTTAGTCAACCATGCTAATATGTGGGTCTCTCTAGGTCTCTATGGGTATCTCTATGGGTGTCTCTGTGGGTCTCTATGGGTCTGGGTGTCTGTAGGACTCTGTGGATCTCTGTGGATGTATGCATTTTGAAATTATTTCCCACCAGCTACATGAAGAAGATTTAAAGTGCGGAACTTCAACACCATGCGACTAACGAAATAACAAAATGAAAAAAAGTGTTTATAGTGTAATGATGAAGGCAACAGCACACTTACCTCACATCGCGTACGTGCGATCTTTGTCCTTGGTGTGTTTGGTATGGTGGCTATGTCGAGACAATCACAACCATCATCACCTCAACCAACCCGGTGGTCCTCTCCACGTTGATCCACGTTAACTGGGATATTTTATGATATTTTTTGTTGTCTTTTATGTTTTTTTGCTGCTACGCTCATGCATGGGGGGGCGGGCAACTGATCGAACGAACCATTCGTGTAACCAAGCCAAATGAACGCAAAACCGAGACGGCAATTGTTGAGCAAGAGGCAAATCCAATGAGCTCAATGAAGTCGGTTCACAGCAAACGTGAAACTTGCAGCGGAAGAACGAGCCGATGGTTCTGCCCTTCTAGGGGTTGCGCGCCAATGTAGTTTGGTCGGTGGTGTGACGCGCTTGTGCCCCGCAGGTTGAAGTGCCTGGGTTCGATTCGTGACCTCGGGTAAACAGTTCTCCATCGAGTTTGTGCGTTCTTCGCCTCTTCTGCCGAGCGTGATGGTGCATGTTCGTGATTGTGTGTATTGTAGTGGTTAGCGCTATGCTGCGCTCCAAACCCGGCGACCTGAGTTCGATTCCCTTTCACGGCCAACACCAGTCCTGAGCCTCCCCTAAGTCGACTTAGTCTCAATTGAGTACCTGGTGCTATGTGTAAAAAACATTGCCACTAGGGAGACAAAGGCGGTCGGGCGTGGTGCTGGCCACCCACCCCCTCGTTTACCGTTCCGGCCTATCATATTTACTCACTAACAGCATTTGCCTTAACAGTCTGTTCATGTCTATATGGAGGATCTTTGTATATTTGTAGCGGTTAGCGCGCTGCACTACGAACCCGCTCACCTGAGTTCAATCACGGTCAACACCAGTGACGATTATATGAACTGCTCCTGGGCCTCAACTAGGCCGACTCAGCTCCAATTAAGTGCCTGATGCGGTCTGTAGTAAAACTTGCCACTGGAGAGACAAAGGCGGCCGGGTGGGCGTGGTGCTGGTCACCCACCCCCTCGTGTCCCACAGTGTCGGCCTTCATAGGTGCTCGCTAACAACACTTGCCCCAACAGTTGGTTAAGTCTACACGGGGGATCTCTGTCTGTATCTTTTGTGTGTATGTTGAACTGATTTCACACCGTACATAGGTAACCGTGCGAATCTATGGTGCAGGGGAAGGGCAAAAAACAAAACACAACAACAAGCAGTTTTTAAAGAAATGAGTTTTCAATCTAGATGATGATTTAAAAGTGCATAGCTCCCAGTGATTTCCTAATATCGGAAGGAGCGTTCCAGACAACCGCAGAAGTATATTTGAAATCGTCACGTGATGATGATGGGGTGACCCCCGTCTCTTTTCGATGTTTGAGCTAAAAACCGCTGCTGCTGCTGCTACCGAGGGTGTGTTAGTGTGTGTGAGAGGATGACTTCTTATTTTCAATAGGGCGAGTCCCTGATAGCGACACACAATGTAACGTTAAAGTTACATTAAGATCCGGAAAAAAAACATAAACGAGAGTTATACCCCCCCCCCCCACTTGGCGACACGGTGGTGAGATGGTATCTCCCTCGCCTGGTGTGCAGAAGATTGTAGGTTCGATTGTGACCCTGACACCTGCTGTATATTTTGAACAAGCTGCTACTCCTACATATTAGCTGCTGCTAGAGAAGGTTCCTATTCTACATCGAATACCACCGTGGATAGGAAATGTTAACGACCTCGCCTGTTATGCAGGCGGTAGTGGGTTCGATCGCGATCCGGACACCTGCTGTATATTTGGAGTTTGGGTCTCTCTCTCCCTGCGGTCTCGTGGATTTTTCTCTCCCAGTCCTCCGGTTTTCCCCTCCACATTTTGAATGAACATCACGCGTTTTAGAGAGATTTGACTGCTGCTATACATATTCACGTGATAAGGCACTTAGTTGAGTTATTATTACATGCGGCCAAGTCCCTTCTGAAAAAGAGCTACATAGCCCAGTGCTTGACCTGGACCAATACAATTTTTTTTATTAGTTTTAGTTTCGTCTATGGATCTCTTTGGGTCTCTATGTATCGCTATGGGTCTTCTATGTGTTTCTAGTTTCCACTTGATGATAAGCTGCTGTCATGTGTGCCATGTGGCTTCTGAAAAAGAGTAACATAGCTTAATAGTGGGCCTTACCTGGTAAAATCTAAATAGTTTTGTTCAGTGTATAACATCAGCACTGGGGAGTCAAAGGGAGCCAGCTGTGGTGCTGCCCTCCGACACTATAGTGCACCGTGCCGGCCTTCATTTAGTAACATGCGTTTAGAGTATTTATATTCAGGGGCGGTTTCTTCATTAGGGCGATTGGGCGACGCACCACCAATGTCATTCAACCACAGAGTCACGCTAGTCGTCACTGTGCCTCTGGATATAGTCATGTCACGTTCTGTGGAGTACCGCCTCTTTTTGGGTGATTTCACTCCGGCTGAGAATCGCCCCGAGTGGCCCCATAGACTTATATTCAAAGATGTTTTTTTTCGAACGAGGGGCACTGCAATGCATTCTCTATGGCTTCCGGGAGGGCTCGCCCTAACGTGCTTACGTCATCATACGTAAGCACGTTTCATCCAACAATATAATTTGTCGCCACCTAGTGGAATCTTTAATAAAATAAACTTGAATGGATTGTATTAATAGTTAGTATAGAAACAAACAAGATGTATTGTAAGAGTCACATTATTTTACATTAATATTAAAGAAGTGAAGTTGCCTTTACATGCTTAAGCTGTTAATTTATCCATTGCATGGGTGGACCTTATCCTTATCAATCATTCCGACATTTGCCCCCCCTGAGAGATTTTGCAGGAGCCGCCACTGTTTATATTATATGACAACTATACCCATGTGATGATGCTATCAGCCAATTCGTTGTGCTTCTATCATTTGTGATAGACAGGTCACTTCTGAAAAAGAGCCACTACATCGCTGAGTGGGGCCTTAGCTTAGTTTATTTTCTTGTTCAGTCTATGGGTCTCTACGTATTCCTACGGGTCTCTATGTATCTCTGTGGGTCTCTATGCGTCTGCAATTTCCACGTGATAATGATATCAGCCACTTCGGTGAACTGATATCATTTGTGAATGCCAGGTCGCTTTTGAAAAAGAGCTACATAGGCCAGTACCTGGTCAATTAAAAACGTAGTTTAAAAGGCTAGTTTATTTGGTTACTTACAGATGGACGGAGAGACAGACTTCAACGCCTTAACCCTTAATTTGAAACCGATGTGTAAAAAAGTACACTTAGGAAATCTGCTTTAAACATCTCGCGATTTATTCCCTCAAGAAGAAGAATCTTTATAATAATCATAATAATCAGGGTTTCCCCCTTTTACGACCAAACGAATATAAATTAAACGAGACAGATACAAATCAACACAATTCTGCAATAATAACAATAAGGATGATGTTAATACTAATCATTGCGTGAATACTGATAGCCCGGGAATCGATCGTGGGAGAGAGAGACAAAGAAATAAGTAAGAGATAAGAGAAAGGCGAGCGGCAGTGAGTGAGGGAAGAGGGAATGGGGGGTTCCCACAGAGACCGACTGGTGCCTTGGTGGGGAAGAGGACTGTTCTGTTAAGTAACGCCACCCCACGTGCCACGTGACACTCCGCCATCTTAGGGACGTCATACTCCCACGCCAACGAGCGCGTCGATGGGGTGTTTTAACGATATTTCGAGAATTTCCAAAAATCGGCAGAATGATAGAGGCCGACTGGTGCCTCGGTGGGGGGGAGGGACGACTGCTTTGCTAAGTGATGCCACCCCCACGTGCCACATGCTCTTCCACCATCTTAGCGACGTCACACTCTGACGTCGTCGATCCCGTCGATGGGATCCTTTTACTGCACAAATTTCGCGAATGAAACGAAAATCGTCCCAAAGTTCCCCTTCCGCTGTTGATTGGCGAGGTTCTTGGAATCGTACGCAGAAGCCTGCAGTGGGTGGCCTCCCCTACCGCGGAAATAAAACCACCGTATTCTGTGTCTGCTGGGAAACACAGCGGCGCTGCAGAAGCGATAGAACGAGCCCGTGAAGTGTGCGGGGATGGATTTATGATAACGGGAAGTAGGTTCGGCATGCGGTTTTCCGGTTTTTCCCTCCACATTTAGAATGAAGTTCATGCATTTAGAGATTAGTTGGCTGCCGCTTATAAATGTCCACATGATGATGAAAAGCAGCCACTTTGTTGAGCTGCTATCGTTTGTGATTGCCAAGTCGCTTATGAAAAAAGCAATTTTGCTCGGTGAGTCTTACCTGGTAAAATAAAAAATGGTTTCGTTTTTTTGTTTCGTTTAAGTCTGCACAGATACTTGTGGCAAACATGCAAACAATCTTGGGTCTCTGCATTTGTATGGGCCTCTATGATTTACGGTCTCTATAAGTATGGGTCTCTGAGTTTGTATAATCAATATCACGCGTTTAGAGTATTTATCTTCTGTTATAAATGTCCAAGTGATTATAAGCCACTTCGTTGAGCTGAAAAACGGCTATATAGTTCAGTGGGGCCTTACCTGGTAAAAAAATAAAAAAAATGTTTAGTTTATTTGATAGCATGCTCAAACCCATCATGAGCCCATTAGGTCGTTCACTTTGCTTGGCATCGCTTCCCATTGGTGTGCACCGTCGGCTTCACGCACGGGGTACAAACAACAAAAACGACGAAAAAAAACCTCCATCTTTTTTTTGTCTCCACGGGACAAGTTCTGTCACGCAGCAGCGCCCTCCCCCCCTCTCCTTTGTGACGATGGCCCCCTCGCCCCGCCTTCCTCGCCTCACCCCGCCCCCTCACCTCGCCCCACCCCCACCCCGCCCCACCCATCGCGCACAACAACTTGACGCGGACTCAACAATGGCAACGACCGAACCGTCGCCAGAAACACCTCACGGCATCATGGCGGCCGCGTGGACCTACGTGTTGTATGTAGTGTGTGTGGGGAGCGGTAGTGTAGCGGTTAGTGCTACACTGCGCTATGAACCAGGCATCCCGAGTTCGATTCTCGCTCAAGGCCAACACCAGTTACGAATTTTTGAGCCGGTCCTAGGCCTCTCCTAGGTCGACTCTGCCTCAAATGAGTACCTGGTACTATGTGTAAAAATATTGCCACTAGGGAGACAAAGGCGGCCAGGGGTGGGGTTGGCCACCCACCCCCTCGTGTGCCGTGCAGGCCTTCACAGATGCTACTCGCTAACAGCACTTGCCCCCAATAGTCTGCTAAAGGCTATACGGGGAAACTTTGTCTCTATGTATCATTGTTTTGTGTGTGTGTGGAGTTGCGTTCATACGGCGGTTTGTGTTACGTTTCATGCAGATTACATAAGGCACTTTTTGCACCCCACAAGGGAGATAAGAGCCGGTTGGGAAAGAGAGGGAGAGAAAAAAAGAGGGACGAGAGAAATGGAGGAGCGAGAGAGATCGAGGAGATAGGAGTGAGAGGGGGGAGATGAGTGAGAGAGATAGGGGTGGAGAGAGGTACGTGAGATAAGGAGTGAGAGGAGAGAGGAGTAGAGAGACGAGAGAGCGAGATAAGGTAGAGAGATAGCGAGTGAGAGGGGGGGGAGAGACAAGGATGAAAGGGGAAGAAAGATAGCAGAGGGGTAGAGGGAAGAAAGAGAGAGGGACGAGAGATAAGGAGGAGTGAGAGAGCGAGTGAGAGAAAGAGGTGGTGGAGGAGAGAGATGATGACGATGGGAGAAATGGGGAGACAGGAGGAGAGGGAGGAAAGAGACGGAGTGAGATGGACGAGAGAGGATGAGGGAGCGAGAGGTCAAGGTAGATAAAATTGATCGTAAAAAAAAGAGAGAGGGAGAGAGTGGGACGAGGGAGAGGAGAGGAGTGGAGAATGAAGAGAGGGAGAGAGGAAGAGGGGTCAGGAGAGAGGAGAGAGAGAAGATAGGGAGAGACAGGTCAAGACAGAGAAGATTGAGAGAGGAAGATAGGTGGACGAGGGAAAGGGGGAGAGGAGGGGGGAATGAAGAGAGGGAGAGCGAGGAAATAGAGGAGGGAGAGAGAGGGAGGAGAGGTTGAGAGGGGAAGAGAAGTCAGGAGAGAGAGAGATGAGAGAGAAGGCAGCTATTGATAGTGAACGCGGTGAGTTTCACGTCATTTTCTCCCACGTGCCGTTGATGTCCGACGTTCTGCTCCACCTGCCGGGAGATTCTTCAGGAGCGCCCACACATTTTTCTAAAATTATTCGTTCCTTCGTTCATTTATCCTACAACAGCAGCAGCGTGCCCAGTCTCCCCCCTCCCCACTTCCAAAGAATGGCGAGCGGCCAGCAACAAGCAGCGCCATCAGAGGCGTCGATAGCGGACGGCTCACACATCCCCGCCCCCCCCCCCCCCGAAACGTCGTACAATCGCGCCCCAACAGCAGCTGCGACTCGTGTTGTTGCTTCTGCTGCAACTGCTGCCACTGCTGATACTTCTGCTGCTGCTAAAGCTGATGCTTCAACTGCTACTTCTGCTGCTGCTGCTGCTGCTACAGCTGATGCTATGTTTGATGCTAAATCCTGCTTCTGCTGCTGATGCTCCTGCTGTTGCAGCTACGTCTGCTGCTCATGCTGCTACTTCTGCTACAGCTGCTGCTTCTGCTGCTTGTGCTTCAACTGATGCTACTGCTGTTGTTGCAGCTACTTCTGCTGTTGTAGCTACATCTGCTGCTACAGCTGCTACCGTCTGCTGCTCCTGCTCATGCTGCTACTTCTGCTGCTGCTACAGCTGATGCTACAGCTGCCGTTGCAACTACTTCTGCTGCTACAGCTGCTACTTCTGCTGCAACTGATGCTTTAACTGCTACATCTTCAGGAGTAGCCGAATTGATTTGTTTCAGATCGTCGATCTGAATGATCCGATTTGGGGCAGTCGTTCACGAATATGTTGCACGCTGCTGCTACTTCCGCTTCTGCAGCTGCTGCTGATGCTACAGCTGTTGCTGCTGCTACTTCCGCTTCTACAGCTGCTGTTGATGCTACAGCTGTTGCTGCTACTTCTTCTGCTTCTATAGCAGCTGCTGCTGATGCTACAGCTGTTGCTGCTACTTCTGCTTCTACAGTTGCTGTTGATGCTACAGCTGTTGCTGCTACTTCTGCTTCTATAGCTGCTGCTGATGCTACAGCTGTTGCTGCTACTTCCGCTTCTACAGCTTCTGCTGATGCTACAGCTGTTGCTGCTACTTCTGCTTCTGCAGCTGCTGATGCTGCTACAGCTGTTGCTGCTACTTCCGCTTCTACAGCTGCTGTTGATGCTACAGCTATTGCTGCTGCTACTTCTTCTGCTTCTACAGCTGCTGTTGATGCTACAGCTGTTGCTGCTACTTCTTCTGCTTCTATAGCTGCTGCTGCTGCTACAGTTGCTGCTGCTACTTCCGCTTCTACAGTTGCTGCTGATGCTACAGCTGTTGCTGCTGCTACTTCCGCTTCTACAGATGCTGTTGATGCTACAGCTGTTGCTGCTACTTCCGCTTCTATAGCTGCTGCTGATGCTACAGCTGTTGCTGCTGCTACTTCCGCTTCTACAGATGCTGTTGATGCTACAGCTGTTGCTGCTACTTCCGCTTCTGCAGCTGCTGCTGATGCTACAGCTGTTGCTGCTACTTCCGCTTCTATAGCTGCTGCTGATGCTACAGCTGTTGCTGCTACTTCTTCTGCTTCTACAGTTGCTGCTGATGCTACAGCTGTTGCTGCTACTTCCGCTTCTATAGCTGCTGCTGATGCTACAGCTGTTGCTGCTACTTCCGCTTCTATAGCTGCTGCTGCTGCTACAGCTGTTGCTGCTACTTCCGCTTCTACAGCTACAGCTGCTGCTGATGCTACAGCTGTTGCTGCTACTTCCGCTTCTATAGCTGCTGTTGATGCTACAGCTGTTGTTGCTGCTACTTCTTCTGCTTCTACAGCTGCTGATGATGCTACAGCTGTTGCTGCTACTTCTTCTGCTTCTATAGCTGCTGCTGCTGCTACAGCTGATGCTGCTACTTCCGCTTCTACAGCTTCTGCTGATGCTACAGCTGTTGCTGCTACTTCTTCTGCTTCTACAGCTGCTGTTGCTGATGCGGTGGCGATGATCCGAATTAGTTTACGCGTGACGAACGCACACTCACAACTCTCACATTGGGGGTGGTGAGGAGCAAGGTGGTCTGCATCGTTGGTTTTAGAGGTGGCCGATTACTTTTCCGTTGCGTGTAGCCACTTCAAGATGTTTCTTGTTCATGTCTTTGTTTTGTTGCGGTTGCACCCGAGGCAAGAGCCGCATGGCTCACAGGGTTATACCTAATAAATGAAACTGAAAACTGAAAACTGAAAAAACGTACTCTCGCGCGCGCATGTGTCTGTGTGTGGACGGGAGCGGTGGCGGGAGCAGTTAGTGATACGCTGCACTTCGAACTCGGAAACCCGAGTTCGATTCCCGCTCACGGCCACCAACACTAAGTGACGATTATCTGAACCGGTCCTGGGCCTCCCCTATGTCAGCTCAGCTTCAAATGAGTACCTGGTGCGTTGTGCAGTAAACATCGCCACTGGGGAGACAAAGGCGGCCGGGTGGGCGTGGTGCTGGTCACCCACCCCCTCGTGTACCACAGTGCCGGCCTCCATAGGTGCTCGCTAACAACACTTGCCCCATTGTGAACCTCACCAACACGGCCATCGTGAACCTCACCGACTTGGCCATTGTGAACCTCACTGACACGGCCATTGTGAACCTCACTGACACGGCCATTGTGAACCTCACTGACACGGCCATTGTGAACCTCACCGACACGGCCATTGTGAACCTCACCGACACGGCCATTGTGAACCTCACCGACACGGCAATTGTGAAACTCACCGACACGGCCATTGTGAAACTCACCGACACGGCCATCTTGAACCTCACCGACACGGCCATCTTGAACCTCACCGACACGGCCATCGTGAACTTCACAACCTCCCTATGCTAAGGTCCAGGAAGGCTTCAACGGCTCCTCTGAGCCTCACGAGCCATTCACTCGTCCGACCCACGACACACAGCACCGTCTTACAGCTTTGGTAACTGTTGAGTTGCTACAAATGTTCACACGATCGAGCCGTAACCAACTCGCCCAACACACCGACGAGAGAGATAGGGTGGGGGCGAGTGTTGTACTGCACTGCCCCTATGCTCACCCACCCCTCATACACTCGAGACACCCCCACCACTACCACCACTGATACCACCACTGCAACCACCACCACTCCCACCAGCAGCACCATCACAACCACCACCACTACTACCACCACCACTACCACCACTGCCACCACCACTGCCAACACGGCCACTACCACTTTCACCACCACCACCACTGCTACCACCAAAGCCACTACCACCACTGCCACAGCTACTACCACTGCCACCACCACTACCACCACTGTCACCACCACTACCACCACCACAACCACAGCCACTACCACCGCTACCGCCACTGCCACCGCCGCCACTACCCCGATCGGCGGCAGGCGGCGTGGCGAGCCATCAGAAGTCTTTGTCCCAGCCCGAGTCGTCGTCTGGGGGAGGGCTTTCTGTGTCCTCGGGGAAGCTGTCGAAGTTGCTCGTGTCCGTGGGGGAGCTCACCTGGGGACAGGTGGGACACACACAAACACAAGGGTACAGAAACAGATCCCCCCGTGTAGCCCCTAACAGACTGTTGGGGCCATTGCTGTTAGTGAATTTGCACCCACTCACTCACCTACTTACTCAATAATCCACCCACTCACTCACCCTCCCACTCACTCACCCACTTACTCACTCACCCACTCATTCACTCACTCACCACTCAATAACCACTCACTCACTCCTCCACTGATTCACCCACTCAGTTATCCACTCACTCACCCACCCACTCACTCACCCACTCAATTACTTACTCACCCACTCGCCCACTCACCTACTCACCCACTCATTCACATACTCACCCACTCCTTCACTCACCCACTCATTCACTCACTCACTCACTCACTCACTCACCCACTTACTCACCCACTCATTGACCTATTCACTCACTCACCCACTCACCCCCTCAATTACTACTCACCCACTCATTCACTAACTTACCCACTCACTCACCCACTCAATTACTTACTCACCCACTCATGACTGCAGGTATTGCATAGACCGCAATACCTGCAGTCATAATACAAACAACCATGTGAGACTAGGCTCTAAGGAAAGCTGTCTCGGGTGTGGACCAATCAACTTCAAGGACAGTGCACATTGTCAGAGTTATGTCTTTTGTTTGCATTATGACTGCAGGTATTGTGGTCTATGCAAACATGACTTTTGTTGCCAGATAAAAGGGTAAAAAACCAATTATCATATTTTTACTGGCAAATGAGGTTCCCATAGTGTAGGTTCCATACTCTTTTGTTCTTTCGGTAAAGTCACGTAGGTATAAAATAAAATACATTTAATGTATTTATTTTATTTTATGCCTACGTGACTTTACCGAAAGAACGAAAGAGTATAAAACATTGTTTTCTATGTTACCAGGTGTAAGGCCCCACTAAGCTTCGTAGCTATTACATCAGAAGCAACCTGAGCCATCACAAATGAAAGCAGCTCAAGCAAATGGCCAATATCATCACCATCATCATAATCACGTCGACATTCATAGCAGCAGCCAAATCACTGTCTAAATGCGTGGTGATGTCCATTCTAAATGTCGAGGGGAAAAAGAAAAAGGAGGACCCGGAGAAAAATATATGCAGTGACCACCACGGGAAGAGAAACGCAGACTCCAAATATATAGCAGCAGGCATCGGCAGGGTCGAGATCGAACCCACGACCTCCTGTAGACCAGGTACAGGATAGCCCTTGACCCACCTTGGGGATGATGGGGGGAGTGAGAGTGCCCTTCCTGAGACCTTCCCAATTGAAGCCTTCAAACCACCTGTTCATAGAGATACACAGAGATATACATAGAGATACATGGAGACCCATAGAAATACACAGAAAGACACGTAGATACACACACTTTGAAGGGAGTGAGATGGGACAGATGGGGATTCGTCCACACACTTTGAAGGAAGTGAGATGGGACAGATGGGGATTAGTCCACACACTTTGAAGGAAGTGAGATGGGACAGATGGGGATTAGTGCACACTTTGAAGGGAGTAAGATGGGACAGACGGTGAATAGTCCACACAGAGTGAGATGGCACAGATGGGGAATAGTTCACACAGCTTGCTGTACCGCCTTCTGGCTAGAGCCAGGGGGTAGTTCACCTCCTAGATTCCCACGCACTCACGGGGCAGAAGAAAAAGGAGTTTGACTCCGTCCGTGTATGATCTAACAACCTGCCTTATGGCTGCCTCTGACACTCACTTGTGTTTCTGAATATCCCTCACTCCGTTCTTCATGTTCCCAAGCCTCTCCGTGGGATTGTCCCTGTGGACACACACACACCGGTAAAGACACAATCACAACAACCGCCATTCGCCACTAAGTGGCGGTGACGTCACCACGACGCTTGTGCCAGGCCATGTGCACCTTGAGGCCACACACACGTACACACAGGTGAAGATACACACAGATACACACACTTCTACACAAGACAAAGATCCCCCGTATAGACTAAGGCAAGTGCTGTTAGCGAGCACCTATGAAGGCCGGAACGCCACATGAGGGGTGGGTGGTCAGCACCACGGCCGGCCGCCTTTGTCTCCCTAGTGGTGATGTTTTACACACCGCACCAGGTACTCATTTGAGGCTGAGTCGACCTAGAGAAGGCCCAGGGCCGGTTCAGAAAATCGTCACTGGTGGTGTTGACCGTGAGTGGGAATCGCACTCGGGTCGCCGGGTTCGTAGTGCAGCATAGCGCTAACCGCCACACTACAGCTCCCCACACACAGGCACATATACAAATACGCACAGGTACACATACATCTGTAATAACAGCCATAGAGGGTTCACGTGGGGATTGGCTTGCCGGTCCTGCTTTGTAGCCAATAAGGGTTGAGACAGGGAACATGGCCTCTGCGTGATCGCGGCATGTTAGCAGGGGGGAGTGGCCTGGCCATTCGGGGCCCCAGCTAATGGGGAGCCGGATCAGAGGCGTGGTCCCGGGATTGACAGGGAACCATCGAGAACGGTCAATGCTGTCTACGGAGGATTGGCTGGGGGGTACCACGTGACGGAGGGATTAAGAGAGAGAGGGAGAGAACGATCGAGAGCAGACTGGGGAACGAGCAGAGCAAGAGCCACGCGCGTACGGGGGCTCTGGGTGCCACGTGCGCGGTGGGAACTTGGTGTGAAGTCTGCCCGCTCTCTGTTGTCTGCCAGAAACGCAGAGTGTGTGAGTAAAGTGTATTGTGGAAGTGGAAATAAAAAGGACCGATTCCGAAGCCGTCTCAGAAGGATTATTACACATCTACACTCACAGGTACACACACAGGTACACACACAGGTGCACAGACAGGTACACACACAGGTACACACACAGGTACACAGAGGTACAATTAGATGACTAGCATCCTCTTGCACGTACACACAACTACCCCACTAGCCACCACCCACTCCCACGTCCTCCCCCAATCAGAATCAGCATCTGCACCGGAGAAATACAATGAGCTACAAAACTCATTATCACAGATGTCCAACTCACCTCCCCTCCCCCACCCTTCGCCCCCCATTCCGCCTCCATCCCCACCACTTCCCACTTCCCCTTCCCACCTCCCCCCCACTCTTCCCTCCCTCCCCAAATCCCCTCCCCAATCCCCCTCCCTCCCCCCATCCCCCGACTCTCCCCCTCACTCCCCCATCCATCCACTCCCCAACTCCCTCCCTCCCTCACCCCCTCCGTCGCCCCCTCCGTCGCCCCCTCCCTCGCCCCCTCCCTCGCCCCCTCCCCCACCCACCCTCTCCCTCCCTCCCCCATGCCCCCACCTCCACTTCCCACCCCCCTACCCCGTACCGGCAGAGCTTCTTGATGAGGATGGCTGCGTTCTTGGGGATGCGTTTGGGGAACTCCACCATGTCGATTCCCCTGAGGATGATGTTGTAAGTCTTCATGGGGTCCGCGCCAGAGAACGGGGGGCTGACGCACGGACACAGAGAGAGTGAATGTGTGTGTGTATCTGTGTGTGTTCATCTGTGTGTATCTGTGTGTGCGTATCTGTGTTTGTATGTGTGTGTGTATATCTGTCCGGCAAAACAACCTCCTACCTCCTCGCGGTGCCGGACGGGCAACACTGTCGTGGGCAGTGCTGTGGGGGGAGGGCCATTGGCCTCTCCCCTCATGGCGTCTGTGACCACCACAGTGGCTAAACGGGGGCTCTGGACGGGTGCGAGGGGCTGGTAACCCCTCCACATTCAATTAACTACCACTAAACTACGATATAAACAAAAAGCTGTAACAAATAAGCTTGTGCCGGAGGCCCCGGGGGGTCAGGCTTTTATGACGTTTCCTGGCCAAACCCCATATGGCGAAGCCAGCAGATTGAATCTTCACCCTCGGGGCTCCTCCAGAAACAACGAAAAACCATTGCGGATGGCCACGTGGAATGTTCGAACGCTCACTGCGGAGGAGAGGCTGCCACTCCTTTGTCGGGAGCTGGACCGGTACCGCCTGGATCTCTGTGGCATTCAGGAGGTCCGGTGGACCGGCTCTGGCTCCTGCCACCATGAGGGGTGGACAGTCCTCCACTCGGGGCAGGAGACTGCCAAACAGCAGGGTGTGGCTCTTCTTCTGAACAAAAGAATGAAGGGGGCGTGGGAGCGTGGCGGTGAGGTGTGGGAAGCTGTAAGCCCCAGGCTACTTTGGGCTCACCTTCCCATCAACCGGAGGCGAGGAGTGGTGGTCGTGGTAACTTATGCCCCCACCGAAGACGAACATCCGTGGAGGGATGCAGGCAAGGCCGATGAGTCAGATGCCTTCTATGACCTCCTGTCACAGGTGCTGGCTAAAGTGGCCACTCGGGACAGAGTCTTCTTGTTGGGTGACTTTAATGCCCGAGTTGGTCATGATGCTGGCACCTGGTTTGGAGTGATTGGAAGGCATGGGCCAGATCAGCTCAATAACAACGGTAGGAGGCTGCTAGATTTTTGTGCAGCCCATGGGCTTGTAATTACCAACACGCTCTTCCGGCATCGGCGCATCCACACAACATCATGGATGCATGCCGGGTCCAAGCAAGAACATCTGCTGGACTACATAGTGACGGACCAGCGGATGCGAGCCCATGTCCTTGACACCAGGACCTACCGTGGAGCTGATCTGCCCTCTGACCATCGACTAGTCATCTGTAAGATGCGCCTGCCATTCTTCCACTCCGATGGTGGGTGTAACCCCCTGGACCCCATTCCAACCAAAAGTGGCCTGGTCTCAATTAGCTGATGAAAGTTCCAAGCGAGAATTTCATCATCGCTTGCAGCTGGGGTTGGCATCGTCCCCCACTCCACCTGATGTCGAGGGTAAATGGGCGAGGTTTAAGACTGTGACTCATGCAGCTGCAATGGCTGCTTTGGGTACGCGGTCCAGACCTCCCCAGAAACCCTGGCTGACAGAGGAGGTGTTCAGGATGGTTGAGAAAAAGCGACAGGCCTACTCTAATCGTCTACAGCATCCCACATCGGAGAATGAGGAGGTTTACCGCGGCCTTCGCTCGGAGGTTCGGAGAGCCGTAAGGCGCTGCAAGGATGGGTGGTGGTCGCGGGTTGCTGAGGAGATGGTGTCTGCCTCAGTGGCCCGCGATCACAAATCACTATTTAACTCCATCAAAACAGTTACCTGCTGCGCCACACCTATTACCATCATTAGGGAAAAAAACGGTGATCCAATCTCCGACCCCCAGGAACAGGTTTGCAGATTTGCTGAGCATTTCTGTGAGGTCCTGGGGGAGGAAAAATCTCTCAGCCAGGAAAACATCATGGCACAAAGTGGGGATAACCCTGCTGAGGCTGCCGTGCCTCAAATATTGTAAGAGATCACCCCCTGTGAGTGGCTGGCTGAGGTGCCATCTGTTGAGGAAGTACTTAAGGCGATCCGGAGTCTGAGACCAGGAAAGGCATCGGGCAGAGATGATCTCCCAAGCGAAATGCTGAGGGAGGGTGGCGTTTGTGCACAGACTGCCCTATATGACATCATAACAACAGTCTGGACCGCTGGACGGATACCACAGGATTGGAAGGATGCCCTGGTGGTCCCCCTCTTTAAGAAGGGGGACCACACAGACTGTAACAACTACAGGGGTATCTCACTCCTCAGTGTGCCGGGAAAGGTCCTGGCAAGGATTATTCTACATCGCCTTGCTAGGCACGCTGAGGAGAGGCTTGTGGAACCCCAATGCGGTTTCAGGAAAGGGCGGTCCTGCAAAGATGCCATATTTTCTGTCCGTCTGCTACAGCAGAGGTGTAGGGAATTCCAACAAGACCTACATCTCTGCTTTATTGAACTGGTCAAGGCCTATGATACCATCAATAGGCCTGGGCTCTGGGTTGTTCTTCGTGCTTTCGTAGTCCCTGACCCTCTGCTCACGATCATTAAGGACCTTCATGATGGTGAGCGGGCCCGGGTAAAACTACGTGGCCGGGAGTCAGAGCCTTTCCCTGCACACCTTGGGGTGCGACAGGGATGTCCTCTGGCTCACACATTATTTAACATCTATTTCGACTGCGTAATTCGTGAAGCCTTCAATAGCTGTACCGGGGGAATTTCCATTTGGTACAGATATAATGGGAGGCTGATCGACGCCCGGGTGCGATCAAGGGATGGCTCCCTATTGGTCAACCACGTTATGTATGCCGATGATTTGGTAATAGCTGCTCATTCAGAAGAGGAGTTGGAGACGCTGCTGCTGAGACTGGAGCGTGCCACTAAGAGATGGGGCCTTACCATCAGCCCCACCAAAACTAAGCACCTGCCTGGGTATTTTGTACCATCGGACACTCCACCCCCACAACTCCCAATCGGTGATTGGGAAGTTGTGGAGAGAGTGGAGAGAGTGGAGAGTTTCCCATACCTGGGCAGTGTGCTCATGACCGGCTCCAGTTTAACAGCAGAGGTCTCATTCCGAATCAGTCGAGCGGCAATATCTTTTCATTGGTTGCGTAACACTGTGTGGAAGCTACGTGGTCTGTTGCTCCGCTCGAAGCTTCAGGTCTTTTCGGCCACGGTCATTCCCTCCCTTCTCTACGCTTTCGAAACGTGGACCCCCCTAATGGAACATCTTCGCTGATTAAAAACATTTAGGCTAGCCTGCCTACGATCCATCTTTGGTTTAACCAGGCTGGATTGTGTCAGGAGCTCACATATCCTTGAAAGATCTGGACATTGTCCCATGAGTGAGCTCCTCCGGCAGGCAAGGCTGCATTGGCTGGGTCATGTAGCCCGCATGTCCAGCCACTACATGCCTAAACAGCTTTTGTTCAGCCAGATAAAGGGGGGTAAACGGGCGCGGCACGGGCTAGAGAAGAGATTCGAGTGATGTAGTACAGGAGGATGTGGAGCTGAGTGGACTTGCCGATGACTGGTACCAGCGGTGTCAAGATCGGCCTCTATGGAGGAGGCTCGTGAAGGACGCTACTGGGCAGTTGTAGGCAGTCGCTCTCCAGCAACAATGGAGGGCAGAGGAACGGCGTTCACAACAACGAGCGGAGCGCCGGGTGGCTAAAGCACAGCAAGTTGGCACAGTAGGGGGCACAGGTGGTGCATCGGCCAAGTCATCTCGGTCAGTCAACCCATGGCACCTGGGTCTATCCCGTGACCTCCTGCCAGCAGGCGTTCGACACTTCACGTGGCCTTAATATGCACATAGCCTGGCACAAGTGGGGTGGTGATGTCACCGCAACTTAGTGGGGAATGGCGATTGTTGTTGTATGTATGTGTGTGTATCTGCGTGTATGTGTGTGTGTGTATGTGTGTGTGTGTCTGTGTGTGTATGTGTGTGTCTGTGTGTGTATGTGTGTGTATGTGTCTGTGTGTGTCTTTGTGTGTATGTGTGTGTCTGTGTGTGTGTCTGTGTGTGTATGTGTGTGTATGTGTGTATGTGTGTGTGTATCTGTATGTGTATGTATGTGTCTGCGTGTATCTACGTATGTATGTGTCTGTGTGTGTGTATCTACGTATGTGTGTGTGTGTGTATGTGTGTGTATCTGTAAGTCTTCATGGGGTCCGAGCCACACAACAGGGTTTACCACACGGACAGAGAGAGAGAGAGAGTGTGTGTATAAAGGGCTTGTCATTGTGTATCTGTGCGTATCGGTGTGTGTACCTGTGTTTGTGTGGCACATTAGGAATGGATCACTCTTTTAAGTATGTCCTTGTGCAGCAAGGGAGTAAAGTGTGGTTCTGTGAAAGTCCTGATGTGCTGTGCAGTGCATCAATGCATGTGTGTACAGCAGCATGTGATGACTGAGTCGGGCCTGTAGGTGGCTGGCAGGGTTATTGAATGACCACGCGGATATACCAGTCACATGGTTAATGGCGACTCGGGCGCAAGGCTGGTTGTAACACACGTGTTGTTGCATTTTACAGGTAAAGGACCCAAAGGTTGTTTTTGATCGTTATATAAATGTTCTAGACTTGTTCTAGACTTGTTCTAGACTTTAAGCTTGGCTTTGCATTGTTCGTTTGTGATATATGCAATTAGAGGCGTTTTAGCACTGTGCATTGTAAAGGGATGACGCACTGTAATTAGTTACTGTCATTGTAATTCTCTAACTCTAATACTGTTTAGTCTATAACCATGCCCATGTACCCAGAGTATGACTACTTGCAATGCTATTGAGAATAGAACACATGTAAAGTAGTAAGCTATACAATGGTGAGATACCGTATGTATACTGTACACATACAGTACATATAATGGGTGTAAGATACCGATATAAGTGGATAGTATAGATAGACATACAGCTTAGGATTAAAGTAATATTCGAATAGTGATGTGCAAATGTGATTGTCAAAGACAAAGATGGTTTATCAGTAGTAGAATTGGGTTTAAGAGAAAGGGTTAATGGATAACCGCACGTGTAAACCAGTCACATGGTTAATGGCGACTCGGGCACAAGGCTGGTTGTAACACACGTGTTGTTGCATTTTACAGAGTGACGGTGCTGTTCTTCCCAAGATTAATATTAACCACAATAAATAAATGTGCTTGCCCTCGATTTGGAGCACCTGCCCACGTCCTTCATTTCGAGTGTGCAACATATGTATATCTACGTGCGTTTGTATTTGTGGGTGTGTATATCTGTGATTGTGTGTGTGTATCTGCGTGTATCCTTGGGTGTGTACATCTGTCTTCATGGTAGAGGTAGTAAAGGTTGTGGTGGAAGAGGTAGTGGAGATTATGGGGGTAGTGGAGGTGGTACAGGTGATGGTGGTCGTGGAAGTGATGGTGGAGGTGGTGTTTGTGGAGGTGTTGATGGAGGTGGTGATGGTGGAGGTGGTGATGGTGGAGGTGCTGGTGGAGGGGGTGATGGTGGAGGTGGTGATGGTGGAGCTGGTGATGGAGGTGGTGGTGCAGGTGGTGATGATGGAGGTGGTGGTGGTCATGGTGGAGGTGGTGGTGGTGGTCATGGTGGAGGTGGTGATGGTGGTGGAGGTGGTGATGGTGGAGGTTGTAGACTCACCTGCCCGTGAGCAGCTCGTACATGAGGATGCCGAGCGACCAGTAGTCTGCGGAGACGTCGTGGCCCCGGTTGAGGATCACCTCGGGAGCGACGTACTCCGGAGTGCCGCAGAACGTCCAAGTCTTACGGCCCAGGCCGATTCGCTTGGCGAACCCAAAGTCAACCTGGATGAGTGGGTGGGTGGGTACGTGGGTTAGTGAATGGGTGGGTGAGTAGGTGAGTGGGCGGGTGAGTGAGTGGGTGGATGGTACGTGGGTGGGTGGGTGAGTGGGTGCGTGTGTGGGTGGGTACGTGGGTGGGTGAGTGGTCGGATCGGTGGTGGAGTGGGTGATTGATAGTGGTGATAGTGGTGATACTATTCACTACACACTACTATAGACTACACACAGTACACTATACACTACATACTAAACTATAATCTGCAATACACTCCACTGTACACTACACTAATATACACAAAACTATACACTCCACTATACACTACACACACGAGACGACTATGCCCTATGTACTACAATACACTACGCTACTATACACTACTTATAGACTACACACATTACATCATTCACCACACTACACACTACACTACTATGTACTACACTATACTACTGAAGATGAGTCGGAGACTGGTTTACGCACTGGTTTATTCTTAACCCCACAGCCACACTCGTTCCAAAACCAACCCGAACACGCGGATCACAGCCCCTTTTGACCCCTCCATCTCCACCCTCGTTCCCAATACACACCCTCGTCTCGTACGCCTGGTCCGAGTGACGTCAATGCCCTTTAACCTTTGACCCCGGTCGAGTGTATTCCCGTGCGTGTGATTGGTGCGTGTTATACTGAGTGCGGAGATTTCATTTCTGCGTGGTGCATGTGCGTGAGGGTGGCTCGCAGTTCCCTTACACTACTATACACTATACTACACACTACACTATACACTACTATACACCACACACACTATACGACTACGTGCTACACTATCCACTACACTATAACTAACACTACACACTACACTACACACTATACACGACACTATACAATACCCACTATACTATACACTACACTACAACAACAACAACCGCCATTCTCCACTAAGTGGCGGTGAGGCCATGTGAAGTGTCAAACGCCCGTTGGCAGGAGGGCAGACCCAGATGCAACAGGTAAACTGACCGAGAAGACTGGCTGATGCACCACCTGTGCCCCCTACTTTGCCAACTTGCTGTGCTTTAGCCACCCGGTGCTCCGCTCGTTGTTGTGAGCGTCACTCCTCCGCCCTCCGTTGTTGTTGGAGCGCGACTGGCTCCAACTGCCCAGTAGCGTCCTTCACGAACCTCCTCCACAGAGGCCGATCTTGACACCGCTGGAACCAGTCATCGGCAAGTCCACTCAGCTCCAAGTCCTCCTGTACCACATCACTCCATCTCTCTCTAGCCCGTGCCATGCCCATTTAGCTCCCTCGATCCGGCCGAACAAAAGCTGTTTAGGCATGCGGTGGCTGGGCATGTGGGCTACATGGCCCAGCCAAAGCAGCCTTGCCTGCCGGAGGAGCTCACCGATGGGACTTTGTCCAAATCTTTCAAGGATTTGTCAGCTCCTCACACAATCCAGCCTGGTTAAACCCAGGATGAATCAGAGGCAGGCCAGCCTAAATGTTTCTAACCGATAAAGATGTTCCATTAGGGGGGTCCACGTTTCGCAAGTGCAGAGAAGGGAGGGAATGACCGAGGCTGAGAAGACCTGTAGCTTTGTGCGGAATGATAGACCAGGTAGCTTCCACACAGCGTTACACAACCGATGAAAAAATAGTGCCACTCGACTGATTCGGAGTGAGACCTCTGCTGTTAAACCGAAGCCGGACATGAGAACACACCCACTCTCTCCACAACTGCCCTATCACCAATTGGGAGTTGTGGGAGTGGAGTGTCCCATGGTACAAAATACCCAGGCAGGTGTTTAGTTTTGGTGGGGCTGATGGTAAGACCCCACCTCTTGGTGGCAAGCTCCAGGTTTAGCAGCAGCGCGTCCAACTCCTCCTCTGAATGAGCAGCAATAACCAGATCATCGGCATACATAACGTGGTTGAGCAATAGGGAGCCATCCCTTGACCATTCCCGGGCATCGATCAGCATCCCATTGTATCTGTACCAGATGAAAATTCCTCCGGTACAGCTATTGCAGGCTTCACGAACTACGTGATAAAAATAGATGTTAAGTAATGTGGGAGCCAGAGGACATCCCTGTCGCACCCCAAGGTGTACAGGGAATGGCTCTGACTCCCGGCCAAGTAGTTTTACCTGCAGCCCGCTCACCGTCATGAAGGTCCTTAATGATCGTGAACAGAGGGTCAGGGACTCCGAAAGCACGAAGAACAACCCAGAGCCCAGGCCAACTGATGGTATCATAGGCCTTGACCAGGTCAATAAAGCAGAGATGTAGGTCTTGTTGGAATTCCCTACACCTCTGCTGTAGCAGACGGACAGAAAAGATGGCATCTGTGCAGGACCGCCCTTTCCTGAAACCGCAGTGGGGCTCCGCAAGCTTCTCCGCAGCGTGCCTAGCAAGGCGATGTTGAATGATCCTTGCCATGACCTTTCCCGGCACACTGAGGAGTGGGATGTCCCTGGAGTTGTTACAGTCTGTGCAGTCCCCCTTCTTAAAGAGGGGGACCACTAGGGCATCCTTCCAATCCTGCAGAACCCGTTCAATGGTCCACACTGTTGTTATGATGTCATGTAGGGCAGTCTGTGCACAAACGCCACCCTCCCTCAGCATTTCGCTTGGGAGATCATCTCTGCCCGGTGCCTTTCCTAGCCTCAGACTCTGGATTGCCTTCGTAACTTCCTCAACTGATGGCACCTCAGCCAGCCACTCATAGGGAGTGACTTCCTCCTCCAATATTTGAGGCACCGCACCCTAAGCAGGGTCATCCCCACTTTGTCCCACGTTGTTTTCCTGGCTGAGGGATTTCCCCTCCCCCAGGCCCTCACAGAAATGCTCAGCAAATCTGCAAACCTTTTCCTGGGGGTCGGAGATTGGATCACCGTTCTTTTCTCTAATGATGGTAATAGGTGTGGCGCTGCAGGTTACTTTTTTGATGGAATTAAAGAGCGATTTGTGATTGTGGGCCACTAAGGCAGACTCCATCTCCTCAGCAACTCGCGACCACCACCCATCCTTGCAGTGCCTCACAGCTCTCCGTACCTCCGAGCGAAGGCTGCGGTAAGCCTCCTCATTCTCTTTATGCTGTAGCCGATGAGAGTGGGCCTGTCACTTTTTCTTAGCCAGCTTGAACACCTCCTCTGTCAGCCAGGGTCTCTGGGGAGGTCTGGACCATGTACCCAAAGCAGACATTGCAGCTGATTGAGCCACAGTTCTAAACCTCACCCATTTCCCCTCGACATCAGGAGGAGTGGAGGACGATGCCAACCCCAGCCTGAAGTGATGATGAAATTCTCGCTTGCAACTTTCATCAGCTAGCTGGGAACATGCCCCTAAGCGTTTGAATGGGGTCCTGGGTGTACACTCACCTCCGGAGTAGAAGAATGGCAGGCACATCTTACAGATGACAAGTCGATGGTCAGTGGGCAGATCAACTTCACGGTAGGTCCTGGTGTCAAGGACATTGGCCCATATCCACTGTTCCGTCACTATGTAGTCCAGCAGATGTTCTTGCTTGGACCCGGCATGCATCCATGATGTAGTGTGAATGCGCCAATGCTGGCACAGCGTGTTGGTAATTACAAGCCCATGGGCTGCACAAAAATCTAGCAGCCTCCTGACGTTGTTATTGAGCTGATCTGGCCCATGCCTTCCAATTACTCCAGACCAGGTGGCAGCATCATGACCAACTCGGGCATTGAAGTCACCCAACAAGATTACTTTATTCCGAGGGGCCACTTTAGCTAGCACCTGTGACAGGAGGTCATAGAAGGCATCTGACTCATCAGCCTTGCCTGCATCCCTCCACGGATGTTCGTCTTCAGTGGGGGCATAAGTAACCACGACCACTACTCCTCGCCTCTAGTTGATGGGAAGGCAAGCCCAAATAGCCTGGGGCTTACAGCTTCCCACACCTCACCGCCACGCTCCTACTCTCTTCACTCTCTTGTTCAGAAGAAGAGCCACTTCCTGTTGTTTAGCAGTCTCCTGCCCCTAGTGGAGGACTGTCCACCCTTCATGGTGGCAGGAGCCAGAGCCGGTCCACCGGACCTCCTGAATATCACGGAGATCCAGGCGGTACCGGTTCAACTCCCGACAGAGGAGTGGCAGACTCTCCTCCGCAGTGAGCATTCGAGCATTCCACCTGGCCACACTTAGTGTTTTTTGTTGTTTCTCGAGGACCCCTGAGGGTAAGGATTCAGTCTCCTGGCTGCACCAAATGGGGTTTGGCCAGGAGACCTCATAGACGCCTGTCCCTCCGGGGCCTCCGGCACATGCTTATTTATTAAATTTTGTGGTCGTGGTTTAGTGGTAATTAATTCAAGGTGGAAGGGTTACCAGCCCCTCGCACCCGTCCAGAGCCCCCATGTAGCCGCTGTGGTGTTTACAAATGCCATGAGGGGAAAGGCCAATCGGAATTCGCCCTCCCTCCACGACACTGCCCACGACAGCATTGCCCGTCCGGCATCACAAGGAGGTAGGGGGATGTTTTGCCGGACCACTGCACTACACACTACACTATACACTACACTATACACTACACAACTATACACTGCACACTAAACTCAACACTGCACTACACACTACACTACTATACACTACACTACACTACACACTACACATCATTACACATCACTACACACTACACACTACACTATACACTACACACTACACACGCCAAAAGGTACCAGCTTGGTGTATCCGCGCGTGTCCAGGATGAGGTTCTCAGGCTTGAGGTCTCGGTAGATGATGCCCTTGGAGTGGAGGTAGGAAAACGCCTCCAGCACGCAGCCCGTGTAGAAGCGTGTCGTGGCGTCATCAAACGAGCCCCTACACAGAGACGGACAGACACACATAGAGAGACGCACACATAGACATAGAGACACACATACATAGAGACGTATACCTAGAGATATATACATAGAGACATATACTCACAGTCCTACTTACTCACTCACCCCACCACCTACTAACTTACTTATCCACCGACCCACTCACTCACCCACCCACCTACTAACTTATTTATCCACCCACTGACTCACTTACCCACTCACTAACCCACCCAAACATACACCCACTCAGTCACTCACCCACCCACTCATTCACCCATCCACGCACTCACTCACCCACCCACCCACTCATTCACCCGTCCACTAACCCACCCAAACATCCACCCACTCAGTCACTCACAGACCCACTCACCTGTCTCTCAGTATGGTCCATAGCTCTCCACCCAGGCACGCCTCCATCAGCATGTAGAGATACTTATTGTCTCTGAACGTCCTGTAGAGTCTGTAGGGACGCAGAGAGTCAGAGACTCACACCCAGAACCACACAGACTCGCATAGAGACCCACACAGACTCACACACTGAGACCCACACAGACTCACAGAGACCCACACAAACTCACACAGAGACCCACACAGACTCACACAGAGACCCACAGACTTACACAGACTCATCATCATCACCATAATCACCATCATTATCACCAATAGCAGCACCATTACATCAACCAACACCACCACCACCTCCCCCATCACCACCACCACCACCACCACCACCTCAACCATCACCTCCCCTATTACCACCACCACCTCCACCATCACCTCCCCCATCACCACCACGTCCACCATCACCTGCCCCATCACCACCACGTCCACCATCACCTCCCCCATTACCACCACCACCATCGCCACCACCTTCACCATCACCACCACCAGCACCTCCACCACCATCTCCCTCATTACCACCACCATCACCTCCCCCATCACCACCATCACCTCCACTCCACCCCCCCCAAACCCCACACGGCCCCCGGGATTTTCGTCGAAGCGGATCTAGGGGCGGGCCGCGCACCGCACGATGAATCCGCAATGCGAATCGCTCATGATGGACTTCTCCGAGCGGATGTGCTCCTGCTGGCGGGTCTCCACGATGTGCCGCTTCTTGAGGATCTTCATGGCAAAGGTGCGGCTCACATCGCTCTTCAGCTGCACCTGATGGACGTGGTGGAGGAGGAGGTGGAGGAGTAGAGGGAGGGAGGGAGGAGGTTAATGGTGTGTGTATGTGCGTGCATGTGAGAGAGTCTCTAAGCATGCGTGAGTGGTTGAGTGTAGTTGGTGGGCGGGTGGTGTGGTGTGTGGGTGAATGAGTAAGTGGGTAAGTTAATGGGTGGGTGAGTGACTGGGTGAGTAAGTAGATGAGCGAGTGGTTGAGTGAGTGAGTGTGTATGTTGGTGGGTGGGTGGATTGGTGACTGGGTGGTTTGGTGAGTGGGTGGGATGGTGAGAGGGTGGGGATGTGGTTTGGTGAGTGGGTGGGTGAGTGAGTGGGTGATTAGGTGAGTGAGAGGGTTAGTGTGTGAGTGGGTTAGTGAGAGGGTGGGTAGGTGGTGTGGTGAGTGAATGAGTAAGTGGGTGAGTTATGTGGGTGGGTGAGTGACTGGGTGAGTGAGTAGATGAGCGAGTGGTTGAGTGAGTGAGTGTGTATGTTGGTGGGTGGGTGGATTGGTGACTGGGTGGTTTGGTGAGTGGGTGGGATGGTGAGAGGGTGGGGATGTGGTTTGGTGAGTGGGTGGGTGAGTGAGTGGGTGATTAGGTGAGTGAGAGGGTTAGTGTGTGAGTGGGTTAGTGAGAGGGTGGGTAGGTGGTGTGGTGAGTGAATGAGTAAGTGGGTGAGTTAATGGGTGGGTGAGTGACTGGGTGAGTGAGTAGATGAGCGAGTGGTTGAGTGAGTGAGTGTGTATGTTGGTGGGTGGGTGGATTGGTGACTGGGTGGTTTGGTGAGTGGGTGGGATGGTGAGAGGGTGGGGATGTGGTTTGGTGAGTGGGTGGGTGAGTGAGTGGGTGATTAGGTTAGTGAGAGGGTTAGTGTGTGAGTGGGTTAGTGAGAGGGTGGGTAGGTGGTGTGGTGAGTGAATGAGTAAGTGGGTGAGTTAATGGGTGGGTGAGTGACTGGGTGAGTGAGTAGATGAGCGAGTGGTTGAGTGAGTGAGTGTGTATGTTAGTGGGTGGGTGGATTGGTGACTGGGTGGTTTGGTGCGTGGGTAGGATGGTGAGAGGGTGGGGATGTGGTTTGGTGAGTGGGTGAGTGAGTGGGTGGGTGATTAGGTGAGTGAGAGGGTTAGTGTGTGAGTGGGTTAGTGAGAGGGTGGGTAGCTGAGTGGGTGGGTGAGTCAGTGAGTGCGTGTGTAAGTGGGTGAGTTGGTGAATGAGTGAGTGAGTGAGTGGGTGGGTGAGTAAGTGGGTGAGTGAGTGGGTGAGGTGAGCGAGTGTGTGCATGAGTGAGTGAGAGGGTGAGTGAGGGGGGGTGTGGGTGAGCGAGTGAGTGTGTAAGTGGGTGAGTGTGTGGGTGTGTGAGTGAGCAGGTGAGTGAGTAGGTGAGTGGGTGGGACAGTGAGTGAGTGGGTGAGTCTGCGAGCCTCACCAATTCCACGCGACCAAACCCACCCACACCCAAGGTGTCGATCGCCGTGAAGTCGCAGAGAGACAACTTGGAGAAGAACGACCCTTCCACCTCCGAGCTGAGTGGATGGGTGAGAGGGTGAGTGGGTGAATAGGTGAGTGAGTGGGTGGGTGAGTGGGTGAGTGAGTGAGTGGGTGTGTGGGTGAGTGGGTGAGTGGGTGGGTTGGGTTTGTGAGTGGGTGGGTGAATGAGCGAGCGAGTGAGCGAGTGGGTGAGTGGGTGGGTGAGTTGGTGAGCGGGCGGGTGAGAGGGTCAGTGAGTGGGTGAGTGAGTAGGTGGGTGCGTGGGTGGGTGAGAGGGTCAGTGAGTGGGTGAGTGAGTAGGTGGGTGAGTGGGTGGGTGAGTCGGTGGGTGAATGCGTATATGCATAGATATACCGACAAGATTAATTTAATTTGACTCTATCACACCTACAGATAAAGACAAATAACCCCCCCATCCCGTGTAGCCTTAACTAGATTGTAGGGGCAAGTGCTGTTAGCTGTCAGTAGCATTCACCCATTCAGTTGCCCTCTAAGGCACTCACCCATTCACCTGCTCCTGTACCTACGTTCTCACTCATGGACTCACTCACTCAATCACCCACTTACCCACTCTCCGTGTGAGTCTCCGTATGAGTCTCCGCGCGAGTGTGTCTCTCCAGTATGTGAGGTTGTATGGCTGTGTGAATCTGTGACCCTCTTTGTGAGCATGTGCGTCTCTGCGTGCGAGGGGCCGCTAAACTCTCCACCCGGCACTTTGTCGACCAAACACCACGGTGGAAACACCGAAATAAGCTCGTGCTAGAGCCCAGGGGGACAGGCCCTCATCACGCCTTCTGGCCAAACCCCATCTGGCAGAGCCAGGAGACTGAACCCAGCCTTTCAGGGTTCCTCCAGAAACAGGAGAACACTGCGATTGGCCACGTTGAATGCTCAGAATCTCGTTGCAGAGGAGAGGCTGCCCCTCCTCTGTCGGGAGCTGGACCGGTACTGCCTGGACCTCTGTGGAATACAGGAGGTCCGGTGGACCGGTTCTGGCTTCAGCTAATATGAGAGGTGGACAGTTCTCCAATCGAGGCAGAAAACTGACAAACAAAAGGGAGTGGCTCTTCTTTTGAACAAAATAATGAGGGGGGTGTGGGAGCGTGGCGGTGAGGTGTGGAAAGCTGTAAGCCCCAGGCTACTTGGGGCTCATCTCCCCATCAACAAGAGGCGAGGAGTGGTGGTCGTGGTTGCTTATGCCTCCACCGAAGATGAACATCAGTAGAGGGATGCAGCCAAGGCCGATGAGTCAGATGACCTTCTATGACTTCCTGTCATAGGTGTGTCAGTGTTCCCTCTGGATAGAATCATCCTGTTGGGTGACTTTAATGCCTGAGTGAGTTATGATGCCTGAGTTGGAGTGATCGGTAGGCGTGGGTCAGATCAACTGAATAACAACGGTAGGAGGCTGCTAGTCTTCTGTGCAGCTCATGGGCTCGAAATTATCAACACGCTGTTCCGGCATCGGCGCATCCACAAAGCATCATGGATATCATGGATGCACGCCGGGTCCATACAAGAGCATCTGCTGGACTATATAGTGATGATGTGAATGCCTGTTATTGGTATGTCTGTGTGAATCTGTGGCTATCTGTGTGAATTTATGCGTGTGTCGCTTTGTGTGTCTCTGTGTGAGTCTCTGGGTGAGTCTCAGTGTGTGCGTCTCTGTGTGTCTCTGTGAGTCTGTGTGTGTGTCTATGTGTGAGTCTCTGTGTGTGTGTTTCTACTTGAGGTTGTATGTTTGTGTGAATCTGTGTTAGTGTCTATGTGAGTCTCTGTGTGAGTCTCTGTCTTTGTCTCTATGAAAAGTTGTATGTCTATGTGAGTCTGTGTGAGTCTCTTTGTGGGTCTGTGTGAGTCTGTGTGAGTCTCTGTATAGGTCTGTGCGAGTCTCTGTTTGTGCCTCCGTGTGAGTCTGTGTGTGAGTCTGTGTTAGTCTCTGTATGGGCTTGTATGAGTCTTTGTGTGAGTCTCTGTGTGTGCTTGTACGACTGTGTGATTATGTGACACTGCGAAAGCTAGGGACTCACGTCGCTTTGGAGTCCGTGTCCTCGCAGCATTTGGTGGACATGTCCTCGATGCCCCCGATCAGATGTTTAAACGACCTGATGTCGAGACACAGAGAGACAAAAAGAAGGGTGGTGGGGGTGAGTTAGTGAGTGGGTGGGTGGCTGCGTGGGTGAGTGGGTCGGTGGATGAGTGGGTGGGTGGGTGAGTGAGTGGGTGAGTGAGTGGGTAAGTGAGTAGGTGAGTGTGTGGGTGAGTGAGTGGGTGGGTGAGTGGGTGAGTGAGTGGGTGGGTGAGTGAGTGGGTAAGTGTGTGGGTGAGTGAGAGGGTGGGTGGGTGAGTGGGTGAGTGGGTGAGTGAGTGGGTGGGTGAGTGAGTGGGTAAGTGAGTAGGTAAGTGAGTGTGTCAGTGAGTGGGTGGGTGGGTGGGTGAGCGGGTGGGTGAATGAGTGGGTGGGTGAGTGGGTGAGTGATTAGTGATTGAAGCGTCAGGTATTCTCAGGCACAGTCATGCCCTCCCTTCCCTATGCGAACCATGGAGCCTGTTTGACAGAAAATCTGCGCCGAAATGAAACATTCAGACTGGCCCTGCCTATGGAGTGAACTTCCAGGTTGGATTGTGTGAGAAGCTCAGATCCTTGAAAGATCTAGACACAATCCCATCATCAGCCTCCTTGGGCAGACAAGGCTTGCGTTGACTGAGTCATCTAACCCGCACGCCCAGCCACCGCATGCCTAAACAGCTTTTGTTCGGCCGGACAGAGGGGTCTAAACGGGCACGGGCGAGAGAAGACATGGAGTGATGAGGTACAAGAGGATGTGGAGCTAATTGGACTTGCTGATGACCGTTACCAGCTCGGCCATCTTTGTTTGCACACCGTACCAGGGACTCATTGGAGGCTGAGTCGACCTAGGGGAGGCCCATGACCGGTTCAGATAATCGTTACTGGTTTTTGGCCGTGAGCTGGAATCGAACCTGGATCGCCGGGTTCGTAGCGCAGCGCACTAACCGCTACACGAGTCTGTGTGTAGCTGACACAAACACACAGACACGCACAAAGATAGTGGGGAGCGATGGTGCAGCGGTCAGCGCGACGCTGCGCTACAAACCCGGCTGAGACCCAAGTTCGATTCCCGCTCACGGCCACCACCAACGCCTGGTGGTCATTACCTGAACCGGTCCTGGGCCTCCCCTAGGTCGACTCAGCCTCAATTGACTACCTGGTGCGGTGGTGTGTAAAGAACATCGGCACTGGGGAGACAAAAGCGGCCGGGCGTGGTGCTGGCCACCCCCAACCCTCGTGTGCCACGGTGCCGGTAGCCTTCATTGGCGCTGCTACTCGCTACTAACAGCCACTTGCCCCAACAGTCTGTTACAGGCTACACGGGGGATCTTTGTCTTTGTCCGCAGACGTACACAGACAGAGACACACACACACAGCAGTCAGTGTCTCCCCCCCCCCTCTCTCACCACTCTCCCCCCCCCCCCCTCTCTCCCCCACCCTCTCTCTCGCCACCCTCTCTACACACTCTCCTCCCATCTCTCCCCCCCTCTCTCTCTCCCCTCTCTCCCCACTCTCCCCCCCTTCTCTCTTCCCCCCCCTTCTCTCTCCCCACTCCCCCCCCCCCTTCGCTTTCCTCCCCCCCCCCTCTTTCTCCACACTCCCCCCCCCCTTTCCCCCCCACTCTCCCTTTCTCTCTCCCCCCCCTCTCTCTCTCCCCACTCCCCCCCCTTCTCTCTTCCCCCCCCTCTCTCTCCCCACTCTCCCTTTCTCTCTCCCCCCCTCTCTCTCCCCACTCTCTCCCCCCTTCTCTCTTCCCCCCCCTCTCTCTCCCCACTCTCCCTTTCTCTCTCCCCCCCTCTCTCTCCCCACTCTCTCCCCCCCTTCTCTCTTCCCCCCCCCTCTCTCTCCCCACTCTCCCTTTCTCTCTCCCCCCCTCTCTCTCCCCACTCTCTCCCCCCTTCTCTCTTCCCCCCCCCTCTCTCCCCACTCTCCCTTTCTCTCTCCCCACTCTCTCCCCCCTTCTCTCCCCCCCTTTCTCTCCCCACTCTCCCCCCCCCCTCTCTCCTCACACCCTCAGGCCATCATGAGCCACTCTGTTCCACATCTGCCCCGCATCTGCCCCCCTCACAAAGCAGACAGATCATGCACAGAAGCAGGTACAGCTCCCCCGTGTAGCCCACGCAGGCTGTCTGGGTCCAGTGCTGTTGGCGAGTAGTTGATAGATTGTAGTGGTGGTGGTGGTGGGGTGGTCTGAACCAACATGCAACCTCCCACCCCCCTGCTCGGCCATCTTTGTCTCCCCACGCTCTAAACTAAACTATTATATTTTTGAATTTACCGGGCAAAGCCCAAACTGAGCTACGCATCTCTTTTATCAGAAGCGACCTGGCCATCACAAATGATGGCAGCTCAACGAATTGGCTGACAGCATCACGTGGACATTCAGAGCAGCAGTCAAATATTCTAAATCGCGTGACATTAATACTCATAGAGGCCCATGCTCATAGAGACCCATAGAGATCTAGATAGCCATAAAGACCCAGAGAAACCCACAGATTTCCAAAGAAACCCACAGAGACGCGCAGAGACCCATACTCATAGAGACCCATACTCATAGAGACCCACAGAGATCCAGAGAGCCATATATACCCATAGAAACCCACAGAGACCAATAGAAACCCACAGAGACGCGCAGATACCCATACTCATAGAGACCCATACTCATAAGAACCCACCGAGATCCAGAGAGCCATATATACCCATAGAAACCTACAGAGACCCATAGAAACCCACAGAGACGAGCAGACACCCATACTCATAGAGACCCATACTCATAGAGACCCATACTCATAGAGACCCACAGAGATCCAGAGAGCCATATATACCCATAGAAACCCACAGAGACCCATAGAAATCCACAGAGACGCGCAGAGACCCATACTCAGAGACCTATACTCATAGAGACCCATAGTAAAACTCAACTATTTTTTTAATGTTACCAGGCATAAGGCCCACCTAGCTATGCATCTTTTTTTAAGAAGCGACATGACCACCACAAACGATAACTCAACGGAAGTGGCTGATATCGTCATCACGTGGAAATGTATAGCAGCAGCCAAATCACTATAAACGTGCGACGTTGCTTCTAAATGTGGAGGGGGAAAAACTGGTGGACCCGAAGAAAAATCCACGCGACCACCAAGGGGAGAGAAACAGATGCAGACTCAAAATATACAGCAGCAGGTATCATCACGGTCGAGATTGAACCGATGACCTCCTGGTTTCCAGGCGAGGGCGTTAACATCTCGCAGGGTCCGGGATCGAACCCACGAACCTCCTACAGACCAAGCGAGAGAGTTAACATCTCGCAGGGTACGGGATCGAACCCACGACCTATTGCATACCAGGCGAGGTAGTTAACATCTCCTAGCCACCGTGACTATGATGAGAGGGAGAGAGATACAGACTCTAAATATATAGCAGCAGACATCATCAGGGTCGAGATTGAACCGATGACCTCCTGGTTTCCAGGCGAGGGAGTTAACATCTCGCAGGGTCCGGGATCGAACCCACGACCTCTTGCATACCAGGCGAGGTAGTTAACATCTCCTAGCCACCGTGACTATGATGAGAGGGAGAGAGACACAGACTCTAAATATATAGCAGCAGGCATCATCAGGGTCGAGATTGAACCGATGACCTCCTGGTTTCCAGGCGAGAGAGTTAACATCTCGCAGGGTCCGGGATCGAACCCATGAACCTCCTACAGACCAGGCGAGAGAGTTAACATCTCGCAGGGTCGGGATCGAACCCACGAACCTCCTACAGACCAGGCGAGGGAGTTAACATCTCCTAGCCACCGCTGTGCCCACTCACTCACTCTCTGTCGATGACCAGGCACGTGACTGACTCCACTGCGATCACGTTGGCTGTCCTCACGTCCTCCCTGTGGGCAGGAACACACACGTGGCAATAGAGGCTCGTCATCATCATTATCACCATGACCATCAACATCGTTGCCATCATCATTATCACCATGACCATCATCATTATTACCATTATCACCATTATGGCGATCATCATGGCCATCATAATCATTATCATTATTATCATCATCATTATTATCATCATTAGGTTTATCATTACCATCATCAACATCATTCCTATTACCATAATAATTACCATCATCATTACCACCATCATAACCGTCATCATTATTATCATCATCATTATCATCAACATCATTACTATTTCTATGATAATTAACATCATTACCACCACCATTATCATCATTATTATCATCATTACCATCATCATTACCATTATCAGCACCAGCAGAATATGCATGAGTGTGTGATAGGGTGGGTAAGTAGGTGGGTGAGTGAATGAGTGGGTGAGTGAGTGGAAGGGTGTGTGAGTGGATGAATGGGAGGGAGGGTGAGTGAGTATGTGGGTGAGTTAGTGAGTGGTTGAGTGAGTGAGTGAGTGGGTGAGTAAGTGGGTGAATGTCTGCATGAGTGGGTGGGTGGTTGGGTGAGTGTGTATGACTATGTATGAGTGAGTAGGAGCGGTCGTATAGCGGTTAGCGCGCTGCGCTACGAACCCGGCGACCCGGGTTCGATTCTCGCTCACTGGCAACACCGATTATCTGAACGGATCCTGGGCTTCCCCTAGGTCGACTCAGCCTCAAATGAGTACCTGGTGTGATGTGTAAACATCGCCACTGGGGAGACAAAGACGGCCAGGCGTGGTGTTGGCCGCCCACCCCCTCGCGTGCCGTGCTGGCCTTTAGAGATGCTCGCTAACAGCACTTGCCCCTACAGTCTGTTGAGTGAGTGTGTGGGTGAGTGACTCACCCCTGTAACGCCATCTCTCCAAACCAGTCTCCCCTTCCCAGGGACCTCAGAAGCTCAGGCTCGTCACTCACCCCCTCGGCCTGTCTCGTAACATTCACCTGCCCAGCAAAATCATCATCAGCAACATTGTCAACAGCAACATTATCACTGCATCCAGAAACTACCGACACGGCCATTGAGAATTCACCCACCGACACGGCCATCGTGAACCCCACTGACATAGCCATCGTGAACCTCACTGACATGACCATTGAGAATTCACCCACCGACACGGCCATTGTGAACCCCACTGACATAGCAATCGTGATCCACGCTGACACGGCCATCGTAAACCCCACCCACACGGCCATCTTGAACCACCGACACAGCCATCGTGAACCCACCCACCCAGACGGCCATTGTGAGCCCACCCACCCACACGGCATTTGTCAACCCCACCGACATGGCCATCATGAACCTCACTGACATGACCATTGAGAATTCACCCACCGACACGGCCATTGTGAACTCTCACTGACACGGCCATCGTGATCCACGCTGACACGGCCATCGTAAACCACACCCACACGGCCATCTTGAACCACCGACACAGCCATCGTGAACCCACCCACCCAGACGGCCATTGTGAGCCCACCCACCCACACGGCATTTGTCAACCCCACCGACATTGCCATCATGAACCCACCAACAGGGCCATCGTGAACCCCATCCACACGGCCATCGTGAACCTCACCCACACGGCGATCGTGAGCCAGGTTACCTGCCCTTTGCTGATGATGAAGAAGGTATCTCCACTCGCCCCTTGCCTGATGATGTAGTCTCCGGCATCATAGTGCATCTGTGGGGGAGACAAAGACAAAGATCCCACGTGTAGCCTGTAACAGACTGTTAACACACCGCACACCAGGTCCTCATTTGAGGCTGGGTTGACCTAGGGGAGGCCCAGGAACGGTTCAAATAATTGCCACTGATGTTGACCATGAGCGAGAATCGAACTCGGGTCGCTAGGTTCGTAGTGCAGCGTATTGCTCACCGCTACACCACCGCTCCCCGAGAGAGAGAGGACACACGGACACCACCATCACCACCGCTTCCTCGACCATCATCACAGCCACCAACGCCACCACCCCCACCATCATCTTCACAATCACCTCCACAATCAACAACCGCCATCTGCCACTAAGTGGCGGTGACATCACCACGGCGCTTGTGCCAGGCTATGTGCACGTTGAAGCCACGTGAAATGTCGAACGCCCGCTGGCAGGAGGTCACGGGGCAGACCCAGGTGCCACGGGTCGACTGACTGAGATGAGTGGCCGATGCACCACCTGGGCCCCCTACCGAGCCTGGCACAAAGTGCCATTGGTGACGTCACCGCCACTTAGTGGTGAAGATTTTTTTTGTGTTTGAATGTCTATACTGGGTCGACGCAGCCTCAAGTCAGTCTATGGGTCTCTGTGAGTCTCTATGGGTCTGGGTGTCTGTGGGTCTCTGTGTGAGTCTGTGGGTCTCTGTGTGAGTCTGTGTGGGTCTCTGTGTGAGTTTGTGGGTCTCTGTGTGAGTCTGTGTGGGTCTCTGTGTGAGTCTGGGTCTGTGTGTGTCTGTGTGGGTCCCTGTGTGAGTCCGCGAGTCTCTGTGTGAGTCTGCGGATCTCTAGGTGAGTCTGTTTGGGTCTCCATGTAAGTCTGTGTGGGTCTCCGTGTGGGTCTCTCTGTGAGAGTGTGGGTCTCTGTGCGAGTCGGTGTGTGTCTCCGTGTGAGTCTGTGTGGGTCTCCGTGGTGAGTCTGTGGGTCTCCGTGTGAGTCTTTGGGTCTCCGTGTGAGTCTGTGGATCTTTGTGTGAGCTTGGCGGTCTATGTTTGAGTCTGTGGGACTCTCTGTGTCTATATGTGTGCGAGTGAGTGTTTGATGTTTCACCTCCTCAATAACATCAGCCAGCTTGCTGATCACCTCCTCTGCCAGATTCTGAAAAGATGGCACACTGACCCACACAACAAACAAACAAACACAAACAAACATGAACAAACATCAAAGATGCAAATCCCCCATATAGCCTTAGGAGATGTTAACTCACTCGCCTGGAAAGCAGGAGGTCATAAGTTTGATGCCGAACCTGACGATGTCCACTACTGCTGTATAATCTTGATTTGAAGCTTTCGTGACTGCAGGAATCTATACTCTTTGGTTCTTTCGGTAAAGTCACGTAGGTATAAAATTAAACAGATCATGACATTTTGGGTGCAACACAAGCGTCATCAGGTGGGAAAGCATGGTCTGCTGCTGAGGCAGACTGTTTTAAAAGGTTGTTATCGCGGCATTACACTTTCTATTGGCAAGGAAAACAGCAGAACGAACCAAGGCAACACGGTGTTGGGTTCGCCGTCAAAAATACACTCCTTGGCATGATAGAGCCACCGACTTCAGGCTCCGAGTGGATTCTGCTCATGAAACTACTCACTGCTTCTGGCCATGTAAACATCCTGAGTGTCTAAGCCCCAACACTCTACTCACCTCCGGAGATTCATGACCAGTTCTATGAAGAGCTTCACAATATTATTAGCAACATCCCCAGCTCTGAGCACATGTTTCTGTTGGGAGACTTCAATGCAAGGGTTGGGGCTGACCACGACGCGTGGTCCACGTGCCTTGGCTATCACGGCATCGGAAAGATGAATGCCAGTGGCCAAAGACTACTGGAGCTTTGTTCATACAACAATCTCTGTATCACAAACTCACTAAACCATGCCATAAAGTATCATGGAGACACCCAAGGTCTCTTAATTGGCACAAACTGGACCTCGTCATCACCCGACGAGCCGCTCCTCAACTCAGTACTCATCACACGCAGCTACCACAGCGCACTCTGTGACACTGATCACCCGCTGGTATCCAGCAAGGTCAGACTACGCTTAAAAAAGATACACCGCCTCAAACAAAAGCGCTACCTACGCATCAACTTTGCCAAGACCTCCCTCCCAGAGCTCACTCAATCATTCCAACACAGCCTTGAGTAGTCCCTACACGACACACCAGATGGAAGCGTGGAGACAAAATGTGCATACATCAGAGACGCCATCTTCAATGCAGCCATCAATACCTTCGGTAAGCAGACAAGGCGGAACACAGACTGGTTTGAGGAACACCTGGCTATATTGGAACCCATCCTCCAAGCCAAGCGCATGGCGCTCCTGAAGTACAAGCAGGTCCCAAGTACAGGATCATTAAGGGCTTTGAAAGCTGCCCGCAGTGCAGCTCAAACAACCACCAGACGCTGCGTCAACAACTACTGGGTGAACCTCAGCAGTAGGATCCAACTCGCCTCTGACACTGGCAATATCCGTGCCATGTATGAAGGCATCAAGACAGCCTTTGGTCCAAACATCAGGAGGATTGCCCCCCTTAAATCCAGCACAGGGGCCATCATCACTGATAAACAAGAGCAAATGGCCAGGTGGGTAGAACACTACTCAGAGCTCTACTCACGAGACAACGATGTGTCAGAAGCTGCCCTTGCTGCTGTAAAGCCCTTACCAACGATACACGAACTGGACAATGTTCCAACCTTGAAGGAACAGGACAACGTCACCAACTCACGAGCCAGTGGCAAGTCCCCGGGACAGAACGGCATCACACCTGAGGTACTGAAATGTGCGAAACCCGCCATCCTCACAAAACTCCATGAACTTATCTGCCAGTGCTGGGAAGAAGGAGCAATGCCTCAAGACATGAGAGATGCCAACATCATCACCCTATATAAAAACAAGGGTGACCGCGCTGACAGCTCACACAGAACAAGGTCTGCAGACACTCATCGACCACCTTGCCAATGCCTGCAACAACTTTGGCCTGACAATCAGTATGAAAAAGACCAATGTCATGAGCCAGGATGTCAGAGACACCCCTTCCATAAACATTTGCAGCTACACCCTGGAAGTCGTTCAGGACTTTACCTACTTAGGTTCCACCATCACCTGCAATTTGTCCCTTGTCACAGAGATTGACAAGCGCATTGGGAAGGTGTCCACAGCTATGTTCAGGTTTACCAAAAGAGTGTGGGAGAACAAATCCCTAACGGTCAACACCAAAGTACAGGTGTATCGGGCCTGCGTCCTTAGCACCCTCCTCTATGGGTCTGAGTCCTGGACAACATACGCCCATCAAGAACATCGACTAAACACATTCCACCTCCGATGTCGCAGGCGCATCCTCGGTATCAGATGGCAAGATCGCATTCCCTACACCTCAGTCCTCAACTTGGCCAACATTACCAGCATGTACTTTCTACTCAGACATAGGCGCCTGAGATGGCTTGGACACGTGCGCCGCATGCAGGATGGCAGAAGACCCAAGGATGTCTTGTACGGCGAGCTGGCATCAGGCACACGGGTCACTGGTCGCCCAGTCCTGCGCTTCAAAGATGTCCGTAAACGGGACATGAAGAGCTGCGACATCAACCCAAATGACTGGGAGAAAACTGCCGGCGACTGACTCAGCTGGCAGTAGGCTGTGAAAACAGGCCTCAGGAGAGGCGAGGAGGAAAGACACACCGCTTGGCAGACCAAGAGGGAGCGACGTAATGAAAAAGCAGCAAACACCTCTGGAGCTGCCACCGCATTCACTTGCAATTGCTGTGGCAAGGATTGCCACTCAAAGGTTGGCCTACTAAGTAATTATAGGCGCTGAAAAACCTACAGCTGACCTCGTAAGGTGCAAAAGAATTGTCTCTCGCGACATGAAGGCCTATGGAAGAAAAAAACAGTCTGCCTCAGCAACAGGCCATGCTTTCCCACCTAATGATGGACGCTTGTGTTGCGCCCGAAACGTCGTGATTTATTTTATGTTATACCTACGTGACTTTACCGAAAGAACCAAAGAGTACTGCTGTATATTTGGAGTTTGCGTTTCTCTCTCCCCGCGTCGTTGCCACTGCGTGGATTTTATTCCTCCAGGGTCTGAATGTCACAAATGATCGCAGCTAAATGAAGTGGCCAATCGTCATAAATTTATAGCAGCGGCCAAATAATCCAAGGGCATGTTTCTGAATATGGAGTAGACATCCACGCAGTGACCACGGGGAGAGAGACGCCAACTCCGAATATACAGCAGAAGGCGTTAGGGTCCAGATCAAACCAACGACCATCCTGCATATCCGGCGAGGAAGATACCATCTCCTAGCCACCGGGACACCCAGAGAGAGACACAGAGATACACAGAGAGACACACAGAGAGAGACACACATAGAGACACACAGAGAGACACACAGAGAGAGACACACAGAGAGACACACAGAGAGACACACAGAGAGACACGTAGAGACACACACAGACAGACACGCAGAGAGAGACACACAGAGACCCACAGAGACACAGAGAGAGACACACACAGAGACACACACAGAGAGAGACACACAGAGAGAGACACACAGAGAGACACCCACAGAGACACACACAGAGAGAGACACACAGAAAGAGACACACAGAGAGACACAGAGACACACAGAGAGGCACACCTCTTCAGGAAGTCCATGTACTCGGCCTGCTTGATGAGGCCAGTCCTCATCATGATCGTCTGGAAGCATTGGCGGTCGATTGCCCAGAGGCGCACGTTCGTGATGGCTGAGGACACACGGACACACACACACGGCACACACACACGGACACACACACACGGACACACACACACGGCACACGGACACACACACACACGGACACACACACAGGGACACACACACACAGGGACACACACACACGGACACACACACACGGACACACACACACACACGGACACACACGGACACATACACTGACACACACACGGACACACACACGGACACACACACACGCGGACACACACACACACGGACACACACACGGACACACACACGGAAAAACACACAGGGACAAACACGGACGCACACACGGACACACATATAGTGACACACACACACGGACACACACACACACATTAGACGGCACATACGGACACATACACAGGGACAAACACGAACAGACACAGGGGCACACACACACACGGACACACACACAGGGACACACACACACGGACACATCAGACGGCACACACACATATACAGGGACCAACACGAAGACACACAGGGACACACACACACCGAAACACACACACGGACACATACATCACACACAGGGACACATCACACGGCACACACAAAGTCAAGAGAAAGGTCTTAACAGACTGTTGGGGTTAGTGCTGTTAGCGTGCACCTATGAAGGCCGGAACGGGGGTGGGTGGCCAGCACCACGCCCGACCGCCTTTGTCTCCCTAGTGGCAACGTTTACACACCGCACCAGGTACTCATTTTGAGGCTGAGTCGACCTAGGGGAGGCCCGGGACCGGTTCAGATAATCGTCACTGGTGGTGTTGGCCGTGAGCTGGAATCAATCCCGTGCCGCCGGGTTCATAGCGCAGCGTAGCGCTAACCGATGCACCACCGCTCCCCACACACACACAGTAACACACACACGGACACACACGGACACACACAGTAACACACACACGGACACACACCACACAGAGACACACACAGACACAAACCACACACGGACACACACAGACACACACCACACAGACACACACACAGACACACACCACACAGACACACACACAGACACACACCGGCACTTGCCCCAACAGCCCACGTGGACTACCCGGGGCAGCTCTGTGTTGTGAGTGTGGACGCGCCTCTGAAGGTTGCGTTTGATAGCCTCTTCAGCACGATGACTGCCCTATCACACTCCATGAAAGTAACACTCTCACATAATCACACAGGCAAAGCGCCCCGTGTAGCCTTCAACAGACTGTTGGGGCAAGTGCTGTTAGTAGCGAGCAGCACTCACCCACTCACTCAGCCACCCACTCAATCACTCACTCACCCACTCACTCACCCACTCACCCACTCGCTCAACCACTCGCTCACCCACCTACTCGCTCACTCACCCACACACTCACCCACCCACTCACTCACCCACTCGCTCACCCACTGACTCCCTCACCTACTCGCTCACTCACCTACTTGCTCACTCACCCACACACTCACCCACTCGCTCACCCACTGACTCACTCACCCACTCGCTCACCAACTCGCTCACCCACCTCCATGCTCACTCACCCACACACTCACCCACCCACTCGCTCACCCACTGACTCACTCACCCACTCGCTCACCCACTGAGTCACTCACCCACTCGCTCACCCACTGACTCACTCACCCACTCGCTCACCCACTGACACACTCACCCACTCGCTCACCCACCTACTCGCTCACTCACCCACACACTCACCCACCCGCCCACTCACTCACCCACTCGCTCACCCACTGACTCACTCATCCACTCGCTCACTCACCTACTCGCTCACTCACCCACACACTCACCCACCCACTCACTCACCCACTCGCTCACCCACTGACTCACTCACCCACTCGCTCACCCACCTACTCGCTCACTCACCCACATACTCACCCACTCGCTCACCCACTGACTCACTCACCCACTCGCTTACCTACCTACTCACTCACCCACCCACTCATTCACCCACTCGCTCACCCACTGACTCACTCACCCACTCGCTCACCCACCTACTCGCTCACTCACCCACACACTCACCCACCCACCCACTCACTCATCCTCTACAAAGACAAAGATCCCCTTTATAGCTTGTAACAGACTGTTTGGGCAATTGCTGTTAGCGAGTTGCACTCACTCAGCTACTCAATCACTCACCCACCCACTCACCCACTCATTCACCTACTTACTCACCCACCCACTCACCCACTAACCCACTCACCTACTTACTCACCCACCCACTCACTCACATACTTACTCACCCACCCACTCACCCACTGACCCACTCACTCACCTCCTTACTCACTTACCCACCCACCCACCCTATCACCCTCTACAAAGACAAAGCTCCCCCGTATTGCGTCAACAGACTGTTGGGGCAAGTGGCTGTGAGTAGCGAGTAACATCGCCTATGAAGGCTACCGGCACTGTGGCACACGAGGAGGTGGATGGCCAGCAAACATGCCCGGCCGCCTTTGTCTCCCCCAGTTCCAACACGTTGTTGACACCACTGCACCGGGTACTCATTTTAGGCCGAGTCGACCTAGGGGAGGGAGTCCCAGGACCGGGTCCAGACAATTGTCAACGGCGCTGATGGTGGCCGTGAGCGCAGGAATCCAACTCGGGTCGCCGTCCCGGGAATTCGTAGCGGTGGTTCAGCGCTAACCGCTGCACCACCGCTCCCCTTCGATTGGGTCACGGCTTTAGTGGCTGACATTCACGGAGCCGGGATTCCAAGGATTTTGATTTCCTTCAACCGGCTTCCGCAGATTTCGATCAGCAGTGACTTGATTGAGGCATTGAGTTGATATTTACTCCCGTGATGAGCGCACGGCTGCACATCTATAGTGGGTGGGTGGTGGGTGAGTGGGTGGGTGGGTGAATTGGTGAGTGGGTGGGTGGTGGGTGAGTGGGTGGGTGAGTTAGTGGGTGGGTGGGTGAGTGGGTGGGTGGGTGAGTGGGTGAGTTAGTGGGTGGGTGAATGGGTGAGTGGGTGGGTGAATGGGTGGGTGGGTGAATGGGTGGGTGGGTGAATGGGTAAGTGGGTGGGTTGGTGGGTGGTGGGTGAGTGGGTGGGTGAGTGAATGGGTCAGTGAGTGAGTGGGTGGGTGCGTGGTGGGTGGGTGAGTGGATGAGTTTGTGGGTGGGTGAATGGGGGGGGGGTGAATGGGTAAGTGGGTGGGTTGGTGGGTGAGTGAGTGTGTGGGTGGGTGGGTGGGTGGATAGGTGGTGGATGAGTGGGTGGGTGGGTGGATGGATGGGTGAGTTAGTGAGTGGATGGGTGATTGAGTGGGTGCGGAGTGAGTGGGTGGGTTGGTGGGTGAATGAGTGGGTGGGTTGGTCGGTCGGTGTAAGAGTGGTTGATTCAATTGCATGGGTGGGTGAATAAAGTCAGTGAGTGAGTGATTAGGTGGGTGGGTGAGTGGCTGTGTGGGAAAGGGAGGCCCAGGACCGGTTCAGATTATCACACTATGTAAAAAAAAAAATGTTGTCCCTGGGTAGTAAGTATTATTTCTAATTGCTTATGCCTCAAAAGTACAGAAAATGGATATTATCCCCAAAAACTTTGGTTTTGTGACCAGGACAGTGATATTTCGATTTAAAGCTTTCGTGACTGCAGGGATTCATCTTCTTGGTTCTTTCGGTAAAGTCACGTAAAAGGGAAGTAATAAAATAATAAAAATAAAACATAATAAAATAAAATAATATAATAATATAATATTTTATTATGTTTTATTTTTATTGTTTTATTACTTCCCTTCTACGTGACTTTACCGAAAGAACCAAGAAGAGGACAGTGATATTTCTAAATTCACCTATTTTCAATGAGAATTCCAGATATATTCAGTGCTGAGTAAACTTGGAGAAACTTCTAGAACATTCTCTAATTTCCAGTAATATAAATTGTCGTATAAATACAGGGCCCTTAAGCCCACCTGGCAGCCCTTTGATTGGTGGAAAACCAACCACGGTCGGGTTGGCTGCCCACCACTTAAATTATCATTGGCTGCTGACATTTGGGCTACTCCCATTTCAAACCCTTATAAACAGTTTGCCTTGGAAGCTAACCCCTCTTTTCCTGATGATGACCGCTTATGTTGCGATCGAAACATCGAAGATTTGTGTTATTTTTTAAAATCCTTTATATTAAGTTCACTTGCTTGCTTGCTTGCTTACGACCGTGCAAATCTTTCGGTCGTTTTTTAACCCACTTCCCGTGATCCAATCGAGCTGAGATTTTCCACACAGACTCGTTGTGCGTGACAATTTATGTCCGTGAAAAATATTTTCCAAAATTTTACACTTTTAGGACAAAAATATTACATTTAATTACCAATTTCTTAATGGTGCAATGCAATCATCTGACCCATAGGTGGCAGCCATCTCAAGCCAGAGGACGAGAGGACTCTAGCCGCCACGCATATAAAGGATTTATAGTGGAAAACTTTGTTTTTACGGGTTATACTTGTTGTTATTTTCTTTGAACCTATCTACGAACCGAAATACCCAATAATATGTAGATACGGAGTCGGCAGCCTTCACGTACCTCCAAGAATTCTTCCCTAAGCTGTCTCCGGCAAAAGTTAAAGCCGGTGTCTTCGTCGAACCACAGATGAAGAAGATCCTGGAGTGCAATGAATTCCCCAAGAAGCTCAATAGTAAGGAGAAAGCAGCTTGGAACAGGTTTGTGGCAGTGGTTCGTGGCTTCCTGGACAATCACAAGGTTGAAAACTATGTGGAGCTGGTTGCGACTCTGGTGAAGAACCACGGCACAATAGGCTGTATGCTGTCCCTCAAAGTCCATATCCCTGATGCTCATCTTGATTAATTCAAGGTGAACATGGGAGCGTACTCGGAGGAGCAAGGCGAGCGCTTCCACCAGGATATACTGGACTTTGAACGCCGCTATCAAGGACAGTATAACGAGAACATGATGGGAGACTACATTTGGGGGCTGATTCGTGAAAGGGATTTACAGTAGAATTTGTAAATCTTGAAAAACTACTCACTTCTAA